GACAAATTCAGTAAAATATCCACATTCGCTTCTTCAATTCTTGATGGAAATGGAATTTGAACGGATTTGAACTAGCATATGGGTGAATTTTTATAAAATGACCAAACACATATTTTTCAACCTGCACTAAAAATACAGGCAATGGGAATGAATTTCTATAACTCAGCACATGTCTTTAGATAGTGTCTAAATACCTGCCAAATATCTTATTGATATCTCAATTCACAAAAAAGTTATGCCCAAAAATGATGCTGAAAATGTCAGGAGTGCAACACCTTTTTGTGACATTTTGAAAATTCGATATTTTTTAAGATTTGTCAAATAAATAATAATGGTTTATGGTGGAAATAAAGACTTTCCTGATAATATTCAAAGTATTGAGCTTTAAATGTAGACTGTAGCAACTTTTGTTTGACCAAGTTGTGGTCATAGCTGATGTTGAAAAAAATGTCATACCGTGTCAGGAGTGAAACTGAAAAAATGAAGTGTTGCCAAAAACATTGATTTCAAAAATCTGAAAGAAAATTAAGTCAAAAAAGAATTTTCAAAGTGTAAAACAATACCTGATATACAATTTAAAACTTAGAAATATTATATAAATCATAAGCACCATTAATGAGAATCAAGTATCTGTGCATACCCAACAATGTCAGGAGTGCAACATTTGATGTTTTGTTCCCAAGCATGAAAAAACTTTTAACAGTATATGATTCTCTGATTTTTATTTTGGAAAATAAAGACACAAAGAACATTTTTAGCAAATAGATTTATCAATTACAGGTCTGTCTGTGTTTCAGATCTATATTTCTATGGTCAGGAGTGCAACACTTTTTTCTTAAAAGATTCAAAGACTTCTATTCATTCTAAGATATATTCTTTGATTAATTGTGATCTATTTCAATAATTTAGTACTAAATTTTTGACAGTCTTATTATTAAAATCCTTCTCTCTTTCAGTTTTATCAATTCAAATGTATTTTATCTTTTCTTTGATTTTTTTTAAGAATGTGAAAAATAAAAACACTGAAAAATTGCTATAAAGTTCAAGTAATTCTACCTCAACTTCACTGAGTTCTGATATAATTTCGCTTCACAATTCTACTTTAAAGACTTTCATGCTCTTAGTCAGGAGTGCAACAAATATGTTAGAATTATTGCTGATCAAATATAAATAAATATAAAGAAAAAAAAATGATGAGTAGAATGTTTCTGGTTGACCTCAGTTGCTTACAGTTGTCCTGTGAAGGAAAATCTAGTACAAAATATTTTTTATCTTCTAAATATATTTTTTAGCTAGTTTTTTGTTGTTGACATAAATAGGTAATGATTCAAGCTATTTAGCCAAGTTTAAATATTTTCATGTGTTTTAATTATGAAGTATATTGGACTATAAATAATGAGAAATAAAAAGTTGTAAATAAAGTTTAATCTCAATGATTTTTAGTAATTTGTAATTGTATGTGTGTCAGAGCATCCCCACCCATTACAAAAATATTATTCAAAGTATTTGTTGCACTTTGAAAAAAGTTATACCAAATTTTGATATATATTATTATTATCAAACAGAATATCATAATTATTTCAAATACTAAAGGTGTATATATATATATGTTATCATGCTAAAAATTCCATAGTAATACAGCTTCTCTATTGTTTATATCATGTGTGGTAAATATCAAAGGACCAAAAGTTAATTTGAAGGTCACCACGAGTGCCAAACAAGGTGTACAGGGTATACACGGGGACTAGTAAGTAAAGGTCAATCGAGTTCCAGCACCTAATGATGTACCTTAATGCACTTGATTGACAGGGGTACACAGACCAGGTATTTTTGAAGGTGGTGCTTAAAATCTCTGCCTTTAAAGACATTTTACAGTCAATTCAGAGAATAGTTTTCATCACTTAACAGATATTTTTAAATACAAAGTATATTATATATAGTACACATTGCAAATAATCATGTTTTGAAGTCTTGAAAATATGAAAAACTTGCCGTAAATGATAAAAAATATCAAAACGACGAACTGATTTACAAACTAAGAATGGGTTATTGTGTGTTACAATTTTTAAAACAATGTTAAATAAAATCGGATATCAGATGTCAGGAGTGCAACACAATAATGTAACATAGGGTCACTTCAAAATCTAGTATTTTTTGAAAACATGTATGCTAAAATTTTCTTTTGGCATAAATTTAAAGAACTGACTTAAATGGACAAAAATGATTTGGGGGAAATTTATTTTCATATTTCTTTCATATTCAAACCAAAAATTGAAAAAATAATGTAAAATAACAATCAAAAAACCAATTTTTTACCACATATACATGAGAAACTCAATAAAGGTTTAGATCTAATCCTTTATATCCACGATTACATTTTGAAGCATAAAAAACAATAATTTCTTTTGATTATGTATTTTAGAAAGTCTTTAAGGATATAGTGATATTTTTCTTTTTTCAAATAAAATTTTACTAATAAAAATTCTGAAATTTTTATATTCAATTGTCTATTCTATTGCAACTTCAGGAATTTTAACTTGCATGCATGTACAATATGAACATAGTGAAGAATATGTTATGGGTAGATGAATTTAAAAAAAAAATACAATTTGGGGCCATTTCTTTAATTCACCTATATATATATATATATATATATATATATATATATATATATATATATATATATATATATATATATATATGTATATATATATATATATATATATATATATATATATATATATATATATATATATATATATATATATATATATATATATATATATATTAGGGATGTCAACGAGTACCCGGTTAACCGGGTACTCGATCGAACGTCCGAGTTTCGAATACTAAAAATGGTACTCGGTTACTCGGAAGTTATTTTTTCTTAAAATTTCAAACTACATATTTTTATCAAAAACTTTTCAAAAAATAACTGAAATATGAATACGGTAAATAGTGTGTCGTCACCTACAACTGTTTTCGCCTTTGGCTGTGTATATACAGTAATTAGTGACCAATCACCTGGTACACAGCTGTTCTCACCTATTGTGGTCCTTAATTTTTGGATGGCTTTAATGATTGTTTTCAGTGAACATCGTTTAAGTATGGTCTATTATCTTAAAATCATTTTTAAATTATCTAATTAATATACGACAGCAAAATCGGACATGCATTGAAATGCCGCTACCCTCTTCAAAAGTGAAGAAATATTTAGAAATAACTAAAGATTTAAAAAATGTTGAAAGTCAGTTTCCGTAGTAAGTTTAGTGTATACAGGGGAAACAACCAACATATGGAATAATATTAGACAAGCGATCCCAATAACGTCCGTTCCTTCCCTTTCGCTGGTCAAAACCGCGTAACAGATTGTCCTCCTTTTGCGTTGGTGAAATAGATCCTAAACAAGAACTGTAAACCATTTGTAATTTTTGATGTATTAATTTTGTCTTTTGTGTTTATTTTATAAATAAATTTAGTACCAAAAAATCATTTCCCTTGGACTCGATTGTTTATATACATTTACAAACGTGATAAAAACAGCTTTGGGGTTTAACAGAGCTTAACGGGGCTCAAGAAAATTAACATTAACGGGGCTCAAGAAAATTAACATTAACGGGGCTCAAGAAAATTAACACACTTGTATCTTCATTTTTACCGAGTACCCGGGTACTCGATCGGAAAAACATCCGAGTAACCGATTATCAAAAATTGACCGATTTGACATCCTTAATATATCCAAAAAATGAAAAGAAATATCACAGTGTCCGGTAATTAATATGAAAATAAAAAAATAACAAGGCAACAATGTTAGTAAAACGTAATTTTCATTACTTTCATTACTTCTTCAGACGTTTTAAAATCCAAAACAATTCAAACATGTGAGGTTATAACGCTACCTGATGATAACGTCAACAACAATGCAATGACGTCACAATGCTTATAGAGGAAACAATTATAGAGTCTAAGTAAAATTACTTAGTAGTATAATAAATAATAAAGTCATGAAACAATCTATATTAAACTATTTAAGGACGGTTTAAAAATCTTGATAAAATGTTTTTTCTTTTTCCCGTCTTTCTAAAAGATTTTCTGTTTTGAGTTTATAAAAGGGATAAACTGAGAATTGTCCCTGTCCACAAACAGCAAGATGTTCACCGAGTTTTATTTTTCTGTACTCGGGTTGGTTGATATGTTGTCTATGTATGCGTATACGAGTGCGTAGTGTGGCCCCCGTTTCTCCTTTGTATAATTGTCCGCATCCAGCGCATGTAATACATTAAATTACTTTTTTTAGATGCAAAGGACATACCTGCATTGATAGTAAATTCTCTATTTCCGAATATAAAAGTACTCCCCTCTTTAATATACTGGCAGGTTCCATAACGTGCATCAGGGCATTTATAGACCAAATATGAATTTCGTTGGTGAAATGAAGGTTTACACAGTATCCTTCGGGTTTTTTTAGGTTGTCTTTATATGTTGATGAATTTATATTTTTTCCAGTACTTTGGACATTTTCTCATCCGTCTGTAGAATGTTGTTGAGGTGACGCACTGTAGAGGTTATATTCCTGTTCTTTGGATTGTATGTAGTTACAAACGGTAATATTGCAGAATCTGATGTGTCACTTTTTGAAGAATTAATAAGTCATGTCATCCAAGTCATAGAAACGTTCGATCCCTTACAATTTAGCTAGAAGAATCTGCACTTTTGTTAGCGACAAGAAAAAAAGAGATGAACGTCTGAATGAATTAAAAAAATATCTGCTTGAACAATGCCATCCTCTTGGAATCATTGAGGACGGAATCGAAATCGACAGAGAAAAACTTATTGATTCTATATATATATATATATATATATATATATATATATATATATATATATATATATATATATATATATATATATATATATATATATATATATATATATATCTGTGATTAAATTATTACTTGTGAAATACATGTACCTTCTAATTGTACAGATTATACTAAGACTGGTGAGTAAGAAGTATTTATTCAAAATACATATACAATCATATGCCTTGTTAAAAATTAACGTCAATAGAGACGTAATCAGTGTTTTACCCATAAAATTGAGAGTAAGGCACACAATGTGAGTACTTGAAATATATATCAATATATATAATACTGGTACATGTTCATGCATTCGATTTCATGATGTACAAGTTCAGTAGGAAAATGTGAAAATTCAGATCTTTCCGAAAACATATACATATTAATACAGAAAACACATATACTCATTTTTTTTGCATAAAATACAAACAGCATGCACTTTGCCTTTATCAGTATCTTATTTGTCCAGACCCACCATTTGAGCGGACACCTCCCAAAGTCTCCTCGCTGCCTCGTCATCTTGGGCTGCTTTTGATTCCCCCTTTACAGCACAATCACTGGAATATAAACAGCACAATCACTGGAATAAACATCAATAAACATCAAACCAAAGATCCCCGAAGAATGACAACAGAAATTGCCAAAAAAATTTAAAAATAGAATTTGAACTTATATTTAGTGAATAGTTTCCCCATGACCATAGAGGTATAAAACATATTGTCATCAATTAAAGGACATTTTTATTCTACTTAAACAATATTAGCATCAACAAAAACAGAATCACCGCACACACATTCTCAGGCATTGGTAGTTAAGAGTCGATCAGCATCACCATCAGTTGATCTGAGAGCATTAAACAAGGACCAGCATGTATAACAGGCACGAAAAACAGCATAATCACGTTACATTGAGGGAAAAAAAAACTCCATACATTTACTATTTTTCTCTCTCTAAAGGCTCTGTTCATACCTAAAATATTTTCCAGTTACGTTGTTCAAACTTTCGTCAACTGCGCAATAAATATTTGTCTGTGCACCTTCTCTTGGTGTTTTGCAAGTGAGAGTAAGAAGTGGCCACAGAAAACTGTATCCAGGAATATACCTTCCTAACTCCGTAACTATAGAACCCGGATGTAGAGAGTTGACTGTTACGCCAGTTCCTGTCAGTAAAAACAAAGAACATCAGTACAAAGAAACAAGAAAAAATACGAGTATGTATTTGTCCGGAATGTTATCTTTTATTGATTGAATTATGGTTTATAATAAGAGCCAAACAAAGCATTTGTTGCAATTCGGGTATATTGTTGTTAATATCCTCTATTCTTTTGTCCACTTGTCACACTATTTTCTTCCTTAAACTCTCACATTTTACGCAGTAGCTAAATCATCTTTTGGAATATGATTAGTGGCCATCTGCAGATGGACAATACGGTTTTAAAATTTGTTCACCCTAGTGGACAATTAGGAGGTCGAAAATTGTTATATTTCTCCAAAAATCTTTTTCCTCAAACTCCTCTTACATTTCGCATTAGCAGATTCTTTTTTTTTTTTTGGAATATAAGAGGAGACCTGTAGATTGATTGATTTTATGTTTTTTTATGTTCAACTCGAGAATTTTTCACTCACATAAAGAGGTCATCAATATAGCGGTGAAGGGCTTCAATTTAGACCTATACTCGGAATTTAACTCAGGGCCATTGAGCATTAAGGGTTCTTTAATTTATCGGGCAAACGCTTACCGTGACACTGGACTTCGGGTTTTAAGGTCTCATCCAAAAGACCCGCGCCTCGACTTTCACCTCTAATGCCGGGCGCTCAGCGAAGGGACATTCACTACCTATGTTTACTTCTTATGTTTGACGCGGACGAGAATCGAAAGAGGGCCGATCAAAAAGCGAGCCTCCTACCACTAGACTACCGTGAACAGTGAGTCCTGTAGATGTGTGGGTCGATAAGTGGGTTCCCTGAACTCCTCTTGAATGCATTAGCCAGTTTATCTTTCTGAATATGATTGTTGGTGTTATGTAATTTCATTTTCAACTATTGGGCCAATTGGGTGTCAAAAAAGCAACGTTTTTCGACAAATTCATGGCTCTCAGAACTTCTCTTAAATTCAGTAGCCGATTCATCTTTTGCAATGAAATGGTATGTCCAGTAAATGTGTAATCAACTTTCAGAAATTTCATTTCCACCTAGGGTCCAAATGAGAGTCGATGAACGACTTTTTTCATCGAAAACCTGGTTTCCCGAACTCTTCTGACGTTTTTTGCAGTAGCCAAATCATCTTTTTTTTCTATTTTTTTTTCCATATATAAAACCTGGCTCTCGGAATTCCTCTTAAAACTAAGAATTACCAAATTATATTTTGGAGTATGATTGTTGATTTCCTGTAGATGTGCAATATGGCTTCAGAATTAAAATTTATCTTCACCCTGGGGGTCACTGGGTTCATGTATCATTTATTGGAGTATGATAGATGGTGACTTAGATTTGAAATAAGGTTTTGACATCTTCATTTTTACCCATCTGGTCATTTTGAGCCAAAAAAAATCTTTTTAAAACAATGATCCCGTAACTCTTCCATTTTAGGCAGTAGCCAAATCATCATTTAAATCATGATTAGTGGTGTCTTATAGATATGCAGTAAATTTTCAGAATTTTTATTTTCACCCTAGGGAACCATTGGGGGTTGAAAAAGGACTTCTTCTTTTTTTTTAATGAAAACTTAGTTCTCTGAACTCTTCTTACATTTTACGCAGGTGCCAAATCAATTTTTGGAATATGATTGGGGATGTCCTGTAAGGAGGAATGCAACACCAGAATTTTATTGAATAGATCTTTAAGACATCCTTTTTAAGCTATGGTTTCTGTATTGATGGACCGATATTAGCTCATAACTATTTTTTACGATTTTTTTGGTATTATTTTCAGAGAAAATGAAAAAAATGATGTTTTATTTGCAAATAAGATGATTAATAGTTTAAAATGTGCTGTTAAGAAATGCATAATATGAAATTCTAATAAAATATGTAAAGAGAGGCTGGATATGCATGTTAATTTTTTAAATAAAAAAATATTTCTGAAAATAAAACACATTATTTATGAATATTTTTTTAACCTATGGATAAATTCTTTATAAAACTAGTCACAACTAAGGAGAATATGCATGTTAGTCAATCATATATTAAAAAGAAATTGAAATGAAATTTTAGGGAAAATAATTATATTAATATTTTGACCAATCCCGATCAAAATTAAACTGATCTTCTACTGTTTCTCTGCTTATATACGCTAAAGTCCTCTTCTAAGAAGAATTCTTTTTTTTTTTAGATATAGGCCTATCTACATTTAGATATATCGACAACGTCTTATCAATTAACAGTAGTTCCATTCATATGTCGACTCTATATATCCCAGTGAGCTTGAAATAAAAGATACCACAGAGTCTGACACATCTGTTTCATATCTGGACATTTTACTAGAAAAAGACTAAAATTGTAACCTAACAACAAAGCTATATGATAAACGTGATGAATTCAATTTTCAATCATCAACTTCCATTACGTTTGTAGCAATATACCCTTATAACCTGCATATGGATTTTTGTCCCCAAGTTGATTCGATACGCAAGAGAATGCTCTATGTATGAACAATTTCTATAACGAGGGAAGCTATTGACAAACAAGTTGATGAAACAAGGATATCAACAATCTCGTCTGAAGTCATCATTTTTGCAAGTATTATGGTCGATACAATGACCTTGTCAGCAAATACAATCTATCATTAGGTCAAATGTTTTTCATACTAATTGTTAGGTCATTATTTACACACTGAATTGTCTACGGATTTTTCCGTTTTCCCGATCATGACATGGCGAGTGTGACCGGTCGGCAGGGGATGCTTACTCCCCTATGGCACCTGATCCCACCTCTGATGTTTTTTGAGGTCCTTGTTTGCTCTGCTCCCGATTTGCATTGTTTAAATGGACTTTGAGCTTGAATACTCTTCGTTATCTCCATATTTCATTTTTACTTCCGAGGAGATACAGGGGTATACATGTGCATATTTAAAGCAACAAAGGCCATGTTTTTAACTCTATGATTTCTTTTTAAAGTTTGATCAGATCTAACATAGCCCATAATATCTAAAACTTAAGTGGTGGAGATATGAATTAACCCCCCCCCCCCAAAAAAAAAAAATTGAAATTTAATCACTGGCACCAAATTTCTATTTTTAGTATCAAGATTTCGAAGAAGATATTTTCTAGTATAGATAATGCTTTTTGCCCAATACAATCAGATTTCTTCATAGACATATTATTTAGGTAACAAGATTTTAAAAAGGCTGCAATTTTACTATATCAAAAACAGGACACAGAACAAAACCAAACAAACAAAACAAATGATTAAGCATTACTTTAGAAATGTAAAGTTATAACTGCTGGAAACTCTGATTTTGATATTTGTCGCCCGCGTAGCGCATTGGTAGAGCGTCTGCTCTAGAGTCGCGAAGTAAGGAGTTGATCCTTACGTCACAGGTTCGAATCCCACTCTGGGACATGGAGACCAGTCCTTCGAATGAGAAAGTATAAACCGAGGCACCATGTCGCAGAAGGTGCTGGCACGAAAAAGATCCCTCACTGCTCAAAGACCCTAAGTGCCGAGCATAGGTCAAAAATTTGAAGCTCTCCACCGGCAAGTGGTGGCGTCTCCATATGAGTGAAAAATTCTGGAGAGGGACGTTAAACAACAAACAGACAAACGAACAAAAAACAAATATATTTTAAATTGGTAATGCTTTAAATGTTCAAATGTTTAGGAACGACACAATGACGACAATATATGTACCACATTGTTTAAAAGTGTATCTCTAAACCTGTAAAGCAAACACCTTATAGTTAATAGTCATTATATAAAGATAAATATCTTGAAATTTACTTTTGCTGCTTACCTTTGAGTCTTCTACTGAGTTCTCTGGAGAACAGAATGTTGGCCAGTTTGCTCTGAGCGTAAGCCTGCATTCGACTATAGCTCTTTTCACTGTTGATGTCATCAAAATTTATTTTGTCGGCGACTAGATAAGAAAAGCATTTCAAGCACACTACTCATTTTGTAAATTTACATCAGTTTTATGCACAAAATACAAATACATTTTAAATTATGAATCACATATAATTAATATTTAAGGTGAAGAACTATTATATTATTAGTATTCCTTAACTATTTACAATAGTACTTACATGTATGAGCCAGAGAAGACACATTGATAATCCTAGCAGGTGCAGATTTCTTGATTTTATCCAGCAGTAAATTGGTTAGCAGAAAGTGTCCTAAATGATTTGTCCCCAGTTGTATCTCAAACCCGTCAGCAGTTTTCATGTATGGACACATCATAATCCCTATAGGTTCAGGAAAAGTACAAATATAGACTTGAAACTTCTGATTTAAATTTAGTAAAATAATAAAAAGATGGGTTTCTTTTTTTTCCCTTACAACCGAAATATTAAAAAAAAATTAACAAATAAAAACGGGCTTGACTCAATGGTGTTTGCATTTTAAATTGATTGATTTCACTGACATACAATTCATGATATAAATTAGTAGTACATGTGTATTTATAACAGGTTTATTTTTGTAAAATTTTATATTTTGGTTTTCTTTCTTCTGTTTTCTTGTTTGTTTGTCTTAGTCGCTTTTTATTACTTAACACTATGTATACGACAAAAAGGTACGTATTGATAACGGTCATATTTCTTAGAAAAAGATAAATTATCTTTTTCTTTCGTTCTTTTATAAAAGTAAAGACACCTCAATTCTTCATTTAAAAAAAGAAGTCAAATATACTCGACGTGTGTGTCAAATTTCCTTACATATATCTGTGATTCTACCGCCTATTTTACCTTGTACAGCAGTTAAGCATCCAGTATCTTAGAGAAATTTTCAGATAATATCCGAACTCTTTCGTGGTACTAGTATTCTCAAGGATTTGTGCAAAAAAGCTCATTTTAAAGAATAACATTTTAGCACAGTATTTTTTTTTTCAGGAAAGAAATCAAGAAATAAGATTCTACCAATTACAGTGTTAATCTAAAGAAAAATCACCAGTATGGAGTGAAAAAATAAAAATTTAAAAAGGGACAAGATAAATTCTTCTATAAATCCTTTTTGCCTCATCTTAATTATTATGATGAAATAAGAACAAGATATCCTGATTTAAGAACAAGGGAAAAAATGAAATGTGGATAATATATGATTCATTGATTGGTAATAGAAAATATTAAACGACTCTTTTATTTTAATATTCAAACCTTTTCTTCAGAATTTTAAATATTTCTAGGAAATAACCTGCATTGTTCAATAAAATATCTAGTCTGGGTTCCGATTTATTGAAGTCGTTGGCAAATTTTCGGATAGACTCCAGCGAGGCCAGATCAAGAATCTTCAAGACGACCTGTTTACTTTCGGTCCTCTCAATGACGTCAGACAATGCCTTCTCACCCCGACTCTTGTCACGACAAGCCATAATTACTCTGGCTCCTATAAAAATTGAATGATTGATCGATCGATCGATTTATTGAGTTCGATTAATTGATACTTTTTCAACATTCTGTCAAGAAGTAGTCCATAGGACAAGGAAAATAAAAGTGATTTTTTCTCCCACACAAAAGGTTTACAAAGAGGGCTTTCAAAGGATTTTTTTTTTTTTGTGCAGGGATAAAAAAATTTACATTTACATTACTTTAGATATATATGAAAAAAGAAAGAAAAAACGAGAAGAATTTCAATGTACTGTAAAAGAATTAATCAAAAACAAAACTAGAAGAATGAACACTTCAGAAAACTCTTGGCTAACCTCTGCCTGCTAGGTCGATAGCGGTCTCTTTCCCTATTCCCGTGTTACATCCTGTAATGATTACGGTCTTTCCATCCAGGCGAGCTTTACTGTAACATTTCCCACCCGCTGCCCACAGTCGAATAACAACGAGTGTCACACCTGCTTACATAAAAAATATTGATGTAGCCACCTAATGCATATATAAGGGAACCAAAGTTGGAAAATATTTTCATAACTTTTTTCCTGCACGATGTCATTTATTTGAACACTTTTTACAGTGTATGCTTTGAATTGATTTGATTTATATTTAGTCTGATCAAAGAATTTTATTCTTGCTAGAATTACACGTTTATGTTTTGGGAGAAAACACTATCTAAACATGTAAATCTGGTGTTTTTGTGAAAAGAATAAAATGTTATATCTAGATCTATATTGACATTCCGTGCAATATTCACATCGTAATTTCCTTGAAATGTATTTGGAGATTATATAACTATATATATAGTACTAGAGTACTAGTATTTTCATGATTTTCGTATGGGATTGCAGGTCCTTCTTCAAAGCTTACTAGCTATAGTAAGCCTTATTTGAAGAAGGACCTGCAATAACCAGGTCCTACAAAATTAAAAGTAAGGCACGCCAAATTCACAAAAATGAGCTAAACATAGTTTCACAGTTGATTAACTATGTTTATCGACTGTTAACTATAGTTTACGGACCATATAGTTAACGATGTTAATCTATATTTCACATCTCTAAACCATAGTTAACGCCTTAATCTATGTTTCACAAGTGTAAACTATACTTAACACCGAAAACAATCATTTGCGATTGCAAAACATAGTTTATCTGATAAATACGTATTCACGATTTGTAAACTATGTTTTACAACTCTAAGCTATAGTTAACGTGTGTTAATTATGATTTACGGTTGTAAACTATAGTTTACAGATATTTAAGGCGCCAAATTTACAAAATTGTGATAAATATAGTTTTACAGTTGAGAAACACAGTTTAACGCCAGAATCTATGATTTTTTTTATCTGAGAGGCACAGTTTTCTGTAAAACTATATTTCACGACTCTAAAGTATATTTTACGGACAAAACTATAGTTAACAATAGTTTTGTCCGTGAATTATAATTATAGATAGGTAATTCTAGATACAGCATGATAAGATTTGGCTATACAACGATTATTTTCATTGGTTGTTAAATATATATATTTCTTGTTGACATAAAAAGTAAATGTTCTTTCATTTTAAAGCAAATCTAGTTGTAAATAAAAAGAAAATGACAAGAAAATTATTGATTAAAATTTATATTTTATTTAAAAGAGAAAGATAGTGAAAAATGCATTTTGACAGTTTGTAATAATTTTTTTCTTCATCATCAACAGAATAAATCACTGACATTTATCCTTGCCCTCTTTCCAATCTTTTGCGCTGATCAAACAAAAATGACTGAGCATTGCTGGTATCAAGAGTTGCTGAAAGCTTGACTGATAAATTTAAGATTATCAAAAAGAGAAATCATTCAAGTTATTCTGTTTATATGTTTCGTTTTTATATAGAACTTACAGCAATGACACACATTCAGTATTTCCTCTAGCGATTGATGCCGCGAGATTTTGAATTGAAACTATCGTTAACAGTTAACAGGTGTTTAGATTCATAAACTATATATAACAATTCTTAACTATAGTTAACGAGTGTGAATTATAGTTTAAGATGATAAACTATGGTTGGCAAATGTGAATCATAGTTTATCTCTCAAAACTATAGTTTACAATCGTTAAGTATAGTTTACATTTGTTAAATACAGTTTACGAGTATCAATGACAGTTAACTAAGGTTTACGACCGAAATCTATAATTATCGAATGTAGAACATAGTTTATCTGATAAATATAGTTTCACGATATGTGAAACTATCATTAACAACTCTTAACTATGGTTAACGAATGTGAATTATAGTTTAAAAATGAGAATCTATATTTATCAGAAAATTTATTGTTAACGTTTATTTACAGACAGATAAACTTTGATTAGCATTCGTAAACTACACTTTACAACCGTTAAATATAGTTTTACAGATGAAAACTATAGATAACTAATCGTAAACTATAGTTAACGGTTTGTAAATTATAGTTTATAATCGACAAACCTAGTTTATCCACTGTTAAACTATGTTTATCTATTTTTTGTGAATTTGGCGTGCCATATATAAGTTTAAGAGTTTGTGATCCTTCTTTTAACAAATATTGATATTTTTGGTCCAAATGGCGGACCATAGTTCTTTTCTCCACGACTACCAGTATGTACGAGCTAGGGGTGATTTGAATCAGAAGTTTCTCTATTATGAATACCCTGCAATACATAAACCGTACACTGAAATATACCTTTAAATCCGCGATGTTCTAAATAAGGAACCCTAGTAGGCCAGTGAATAACAATGCATGCCCTTCTCAATACTGCAATTTTTTAAATTATGCTTTTAAAAGGTCAAGAAGGATATTACTATTTTCCAAGGAAAATGGAATTTACCTGCGACTGCTGCGCTTGCAATTAGAGTTTGGTGCTCGACTAAAAAGTTCCTTACATCATCCATTTTTGTTCCTGGGTATGAGAACCCGTAACAGAGATTTTTCTTTTGTTATGTGTGCAGGAGTGTATGTTACCATCTCTAGGTGTTTCTGCATTGATTTACTTTAAATTGTGACTGTAAACTAAAAAAACTAATACCATTTACTTGTATTTAAAAATTTAGGTCCTCGTTAGAAAAGAAGAGATCACAGATTATCTGTCAATAAACTCATGTAGCACTAACAGAAAGGTTACAAATTACTTCAGATATTTTGATCAACATTTAAGTCTGATATTATGGTTTGCTGAAATATTAATAAATCTGTTTTTACCGCAATATTTACATTTGCTGTGTTTTTCTACTTAGCCAACTGCGAAATTGATTTTCACATGCCATTTTCGTGTATACTCACGCCTCGAAATATGCACGGAGGAACTCGCGCCAAACTGACGTCACAGTGAGCTACAGAGACGTTAATAAAAATGTAACGATACAGGGCAGCGAATAATTCAAACAATGAGTATATTTTTGGTGCTTTTGAACATGGAAAATGTAAATATACATGTAATAGCGCGCTTCATGAAATATGCCAACGTGACAAGTCTGTGTGATTTACACACAAATAACTCACACAAAACTTAAAAACATTCCTTAATTAAATCATCGAGTATTCCTGGTATGGCGGTCTTTTTTTTATTATAGATCATGTAGATGAACTTACAAAGACTCATTTACATAAATAGTCGAGAATGACAAGGCATATAGTGCAAATTAATATTACAGGAATATGAATATTATACGAGCATTCACATAGCTAAATTCAAACTAACAGCACTATTAGCACTGCGATGTAGATAACCTATTGTGCATTTTGTGATAAAAGCGCAAATATAGATATTTATATCATAAAGAAATCTGGATATTGGGCCATCGCAATTGGAAATTACCGTATTACCGTTACAGTTTATATTTACGAAAATCTTTCACGGATTTCACCGACTGTCATCCTTTATATAAAAAAATAAAAACACTCTCTGAATTATTAAAAACAAAATGTTTAATACTTTAATAAAATATGATATACATGTACCGTATGTGTATGACATCACTTTTCAACATATAATACCATTGTTTCTTTCATAAGATGAAACAAAGATAAAGTAAAAAATCTAAATTTGCCTCTATCTAAATTAATACATGTATTGATTTAATGAATGGTCCCTTAATGGTACCATTAAATACATGTAGTAATAAAAAAGTGACTATAAAACAGGTATGGAGAAAATATTCCGCCACATCTGAATGAAGTCATATCCTATTTCTCTTTGCTGGGTTTTGTATTGTTAGGGTTTTTATTTTGCGATGAATAGCAGTGTAGATTTGTCACATCCGAATGAAGTCATGTCCTCATTCTCTCTGCTGGGTTGTTTTGTATTACTAGATTTTTTTTTTTCGATGAATAGCATTATAGATTTGGCCAAACAAAGACGTTCTTTGAAACTTATATTTTCAACTCTCTTCACACTTTGTGCAGAGTTTAATATAGAACGGTCTACAAGCTTTATAGTATCAAAATCTTAGACGCCATTGCTTGATTTTACAAAAGAGTTGCTAAAGTCATTAACTAAACAAGAGAACAAATACCGGTTCAAATACCTGTGGCAAAGAAGGTCTGTACACGTGTTTTCTATATTGATGACATTTTTTTCTTTGAGGCCATCAAGAAACTCCTGCATTAACCTCTGACCCAGTTACCATCTCTGGTCCAGTTAACATCTACCATCCATTTGGCATTTTACTCTGTAAAACTTTTATCCTATTTTCTGTTTTAATTTAGCACGTTTTGATATGTCTCTAAGATGGACAGAAACCCAACAACAGAGACATATAGAAGCTTCAAGATACATTGGAAATGATCGAAGCCGCAGATAGAACGAAGGTCAATACATACACAACAGGCTTTTTGAACTCCTGAATTCTTTTTTCAGTTTCTTAGCATATAAATTGATAGCAGTCATTGACACGTTGCTGAAGTATACATAAGACCGAGACGGTAACCTCATAAGCTCTTAATTCTTGAACGAGAAACATCGGATACAATATACCTTTATCACCTGCATAGGGGGTTTATAGCTCTCAGTTGATTCGATACGCAAGAGCATGCTCTACGTATTACCAATTTCTAAAACGAGGTAGGTTATTGACAAAAAAGTTGTTGAAACAAGAATATCAGCAGTCTCGTTTAACGTCATCATTACGTAAGTTCTATGGTCGATACAATGACCTTGTCAGCAAATACAATCTATCGTTAAGTCAAATGCTGACTGACGTTTTTCATACGAATTGTATGGCAATTGTCGACGGATTTTTCAGTTATTCCCGATCATGACAAGGAGCACACGGCGGGTGTGACCGGTCGGCAGGGGATGCTCACTCCTCGATGGCACCTGATCCCTCTGATGTCTTAGTGGTCCGTGTTTGCTCTGCTCCAAGATTTGTATTGTTTAATGGACTTTTGAGCTTGAATACTGTTCGTTATTACCACATATTTCATGTGAGAAAAAGTCGCCTTCTCTGTAGTCGTAATAACCGTTTTTAAAGATGACTACCCAGCCATACTCATAAAGGAATCCGATGTTCCGGATAATTATTTTTAACAAGAAACCGATGGAATACAACGCTCATTTACGTTCATTTACGTAATCTTGGCCTTGATGTTCTTTAGAAGAACTTTTCTTTTTTAATTGACATGAAACTTTGTTACCACATATTGTGACCCATCCTAACCCCTTAGGGGTTATGATACTTGAATCAACACAACATTCATTTGGGATGCTTCAATATTAATAAGGCTAAGTTTCTTTGAAAGATTTATTCCTGTATACTAGAACATGCACTAAATAAAATCTGATACCAGATTTCATTCCTACCTTTGCCCCAGGGTCAACAATGATGACCTAAACAGCCGTTTGTAGACGATTCCGCAGATTGTTATTTGAATCCAATATTTGCATTTTAGCATGATATAGTATGGCCCTGCTACTCTAGAGAAGATTTTAATTGATTTCTTACATATTCTTATGTAAAACTGTGTTCCCTTTCGTGGCCATAATTTGAATAAATTAAATTTGCACTCCTGAGGATGCTAGCATATTTGTATCGTTAACCATAGCCTTGTTCTTGAGAAGATTTTCCAAGTTTTCCCCTTATATATTCATACTGTAAAACTTTAATCCCCTATTGTGGCACACCCTACAACCAGGGGTCATTATTTACACAAACATGAATCTACACTACATTAGGAACCATTTCCATTTTTTTCATTTTTCTGGCCCAGTGGTTCTTGAGACTTTTTTTTTAAATTAAGCCATTAAATTTTCATAATACTCAAATTAGCTCACCTTGAAAAAGGGCGCTGGACTTGAGTTGAACAAACTTGTATCTCTATTACTCAAGTATGCTTAATGGCAAGTTTGATTGAAATTTGACGGGTAATTTGGGAGAAGATAAGAATTTAAAAGATCACGACAACGACGACGACAACAACATTGACAGACAGCGGACGAATTAGCTGACTTGGGCTTTAAGGTTAGGTGAGCTAAAAAGTTTTCTACATATATACAAATCTATTTATAATCCTTTTAAGCCAGTAGCTACTACAGTTTTGGGGGAATTTGTAACTGTGGCGTATGACTGCCATTTTGAAAAATGGCTGCCAAAATCATCTGTGGTTGTCCAACGAAGTGGTCCATTATCCAAAATATATTACTCTACCTATACACATAATTTCACACTTTTATCCCAAAATGCACAATTTTATTTTGAAATAGCTATATCGCATGTCCATATTCAACATGAACATCTTTTGTTTACTACATGTATCTTTGACACAGAGAAGAAACATATTAACTTCTAAATCTGTAGATTATTATATCAAACACAAAACCATACGTTCTATTTTATTTATTGACCTCATCATTAGAAAATTCTACATGTCTACACGATAACTATGTAACTAAATATTCTTGTTAATTTATTTTTTGTTACTTTATTTGAGTTGATTAAATTGGCCAATACCTGATTTAAAACAAATTAGAAAAACAATATGTTATAAGAGTAAACAACTAAATACAAGTACAAAAGTTTGTAAATGTACAAAAGATTATGCATTTATAATACTGTGAATGTTTTGCATAGATTATAAACAATTAAATGTCCCTTTGCCAATGTCACTGTCTCATTTGTCCAGACCAACGTCAGTGTCTTGTTTGTCCAGACCTATGTCATTGTGTTGTTTGTCCAGACCTTTGTTATGTCTTGTTTGTCCATACCTGTGTCAATGTCTATGTCAGTGTCTTGTTTGTCCAGATCTATGTCAGTGTCTTGTTTGTCCAGACCTATGTTATTGTCTTGTTTGTTCAGACCTATGTCAGTATCTTGTTTGTCCATACCTATGTCAGTGTCTCGTTTGTCCATACCTAAGTCAGTGTCTTCTTTGTCCAGACCTATGTCAGTGTCTTGTTTGTTCAGACCTATGCCAGTGTCTTGTTTGTTCAGGTCTATGTCAGTGCCTTGTTTGTCCACACCTATGCCAATGTCTTGTTTGTTCAGGCCTATGTCAGTGTCATGTTTGTCCAGACCTATGTCATTGTCTTTTTTGTCCAGACCTATGAAAATGTCATGCTTATCCACACTTATGTCAGTGTCATGTTTGCCCACACTTATATGTCAGTGTCTTGTTTGTCCAGACCTAAGTCAGTGTCTTGTTTGTCCTGTTTGTCCACACCAACGTCAGTGTCTTGTTTTTTTAGACCTATGTCATTGTCTTGTTTGTCCAGACCTTAGTCAGTGTCCCGTTTATCCACACCTATGTCAGTATCTTGTTTGTCCTGTCTTGCATCTCATTTGAACAGAGCGACCATCGGATGACTCCCAGTATTTTATTTGTCCAGATTGACCATTTGAGCGGACACCTCCCAAAGTCTCCTCGCTGCCTCGTCATCTTGGGCTGCTTTTGATTCCTCCTTCACAGCACAATCACTGGAATATAAACAGCACAATCACTGGAATATAAACAGCACAATCACTGAAATGAATATTACAGTTTTCTTTAAATATTAACATTTCAGAGTTGGAAAAGATGCATTTTAATTCAGAATGATACTAAACTAGATGTTATCATACTAGAAGTAATACCACAAGTAAGTGTTGCATTTAAATATTCTCTTCTTCATATCTTGGTAACTAGCTAAGAGACCATAATATATAGTATAATAATACATAGTATTTTATAATCATTGTGTGTACCCGAAGTAGAAAGCGCAGATGTAAACGTGGAATAAAGAAAGAAAACAGAGCACAATATGTTCACGAAGAATCGATGATGAAAAATTTATTACTAGATGCTCACACTTTCTTCAAATCAAAACTCAATTAAATCTTGAGATTTCACAAATTGTTATAATACCTGAAATATTTTCCAGTGACGTTATCCAAACTTTCGTCAACAGCACAGTAAATATTAGTTTGTGCACCTTCCCTCGGAGTTTTAAAAATCAAGGCAATGAGAGGCCATATAATCTTATATCCCGGGACGTATCTCTGTAGCTCAGTAATTACTGATCCGGGATGAAGAGAGTTGACCGTCACGCCAGTTCCTGAAAGGAAAAGTTACCTGCATCTTATAATGAAATGTTTAAAAAACAAGATGTGTTTGTGAAACAGTGATGCCCCCGTATGGTAACTTATAGCAGAGGTTAAACTTTCTCAAATGCAAATCAAATATGTTGATACCCAAAGTAAGGTCTTGTCTCGAGGAATAAACCTATGAAATATGAAAGGTCTAGAAGCAACCATTGAACAGATATGGAAAAGATTAAAGTTTTTTTTTTCCAAAAGTATGTCAAACATCAAGGTCAAGGTCAAATGGTCAAAATTAATGGTGCCAAAGGAAAGGCCTTCTCCCGAGAAATAAAAAGGTGAAATATGAAAGCCGAAGCACCAATCGTTCAAAAGTTATGGCCAAGGTTACAGTTTTCCAAAAATAGGTCAAACTCCAAGGTCAAGGTCAAAGGGTCAAAGCTGTTGGTATCCAAAGAAAGGTCTTGTCACAAGGATTACATATGTGAAGTATGAAAGCCCTAGCACCAACCGTTCAAAATTTATGGCCAAGGTTAAAGTTTTCCAAAAGTAGGTCAAACTCCAAGGTCAAGGTCAAAGGGTCAAAGTTGTTGGTATCCAAAGGAAGGTCTTGTCACAAGAATTACACATATTAAGTATGAAAGCCCTTGCACCAACCGTTCAAAAGTTATGGCCAAGGTTAAAGTTTGGTAAAATTTTGCAAAGCTGGGTCAATCTCCAAGGTCAAGGTCAAAAGGTCATATATGGTGGTACCCAAGGAAAGGTCTTATCATAATGAACACTCATATCAAATATTAAAGCCTTACCCTTGATAGCGCAATAGTTATTGGCTAGGTTAAAGTTGACAACAGACAGACAGACAAACAGGACAAAAACAATATACCCCTGGATCTTTCGATCCGGGGGCATAAAACAATCCAAGAGTCATTTTCCAATTTTTTGATCCACCATTAGAGCATGACAGATGCAAAATGTCAACGTGTCAATTACGTAACGGAAATGAAAAATGTCACTAACTCAAGTATTTAATGAAAATCAAGTGAATAATATGTTATTATTATGAAATCTTTGGTTTCGTGGGCTATAACCAGACCATAGACGGAACTTACTGTATAAAGCATTATATTTACACTAATCTTTTAGATTCGTCTTATACTCAGCGATTTTGCTGCTTACCTTTGAGTCTTCTACTGAGTTCTCTGGAGAACAGGATGTTGGCCAGTTTGCTTTGAGCGTAAGCCTGAGTTCGATTATAGCTCTTTTCACTATTGATGTCATCAAAATTTATTTTGTCGGTGACTATGTAATAATAAAAATAAATATTTAGTTTTGATGCCCAAAATTAAATATTTGGTCATGTATGTCTAGCCGATACCTATACTATATGACTTGTTTGAGTTCCAGACACTCTAGCCCATATATAACCTTTGTGCAGATTTCAAAGAACAGAAGAATACGATTGTATAAAAAAGATAAACTGAATGAATACTTAGAAATAAAATTGGAAGTATGCATTTTCTTCTTCAGTACTGGTCACTAAATCAAACCCACACTAGCACTTACAAATGTGTGCAAGGGAGGACACGTTGACAATTCTTGCTGGGGCGGATTTCTTGATTTTATCCAATAGTAGATTGGTCAGCAGAAAATGACCAAGATGATTGGTTCCAAACTGCATTTCAAACCCTTCAGCAGTTTTCAAATATGGGCATATCATCACTCCTGTTGATAAATTGAATTCCACATTATCACCAATATAATACTATTTTCATAGTTCCCAACCATTTCATTTCACAAGAGTATTAAAACAGAATGCCCAAAGAAATTTTCTGAATAGTTGCGTACAACGTTAGAGACGAAAGAAAATGTTTAAAGAAATCATTCTGTTTCAATATTTTCCAACGATTACTTAATCCCAGTAAGATTCGTCGAGACTAAAAATTTGTACTGACGTGTACTCAGTGTGTAAATGAGTTTTGTTGCGAGTTTAGAATACTAGTAGTAAGACTTTAGTACAAATTGTTTAGTCTCGACGAATCCCGCTCAGATTAGCGCTTTCTAAGAACAAAAGAGCTAATATTAAGTGTTGATCTTGAAATATCAAAAACAGTTTCTGTAATTGAAATGTACGTATCGACAATAAGAAGTCCATAGGCCACAGCGCTCACCTGGGTAACCTTTGTCCTGTTGTTTATTTAGAAGAAAATTTTTAAAATATTTGTCCTATTTATTTCCATGAGAATTTGAACTCATACTCTGACCAAACCTTAGCTCAAAGAGGTCATGACTTAACTAAACTTGAATCATCAAAATGTATATATATATATATAGATTCTTCAATATCAATGTGACTGGCAATGCATTATATATATTTTTTCTTTTTTGTGAATGTACATGTGCCAAAACAAATAGCCTTCCCTCTAAATGGATAGCAGCATCTCGTTGATCATAAAGGCCGTGTATCTCATGAGGTTTCGTTATTATTTACGTTATAGTTTCTAGATGCATATATATCGATGGTTACAAGAAGTTTTATTTTCTTAAGGCTACAAGGAATACATTGATTTCCAGCATTTGAATATACATTTCACAATGCAATTATCTTTTTATCTTAAATGTGATTAAATCAGTCATAATATTGATTAATGAACTTTGTAGAGAAAACTTTGAATGAAAAAGAAAATCCTTAAAGAGGTTTCCGACAATAAAACTATAAAAACCTTACAAAACCATTTTGAAAAATATTTAGATAACTTGTTTATTGATTTGATGATTAGAAACAAAACAATACAATATGCCTTGAAAAGATCTTTCGACCACATTTATATTGTAGCTTGAAAATACGACCTGCATTGTTGATCAAAATATCAAGTCTGGGTTCCGTTTTGTTGATGTCCTCGGCAAATTTTCTCACGGAATCCAGTGAAGCCAGATCAAGAATCTTCAAGACGACCTGTTTATTTCCGGTCCTTTCAATGACTGCAGCTAAGGCCGTCTCTCCCCGACCCCGGTCACGACATGCCATGATCACTCTGGCTCCTAAAACGATTTATTACTGATTGTCTCTCTCATTTTCATGCGTTCATAGATGAAATATTGTGAATTTACTATATTTTTCCAGATTCTTCAAAAAGAGACACGAAGAAAGACTCTCTCTCTCTCTCTCTCTCTCTCTCTCTCTCTCTCTCTCTCTCTGAGAATAAAGTATTTTCCAGCTAAAAAAACATTTCATGAAAATAGGTAAAGAATGAAACATTTTCTCAAAATTTTGATGATTTTTTTTTTGTAAAATCAAGCCACATACCTCTGCCTGCTAGGTCGATAGCGGTCTCTTTCCCTATCCCCGTGTTACAGCCTGTAATGATTACGGTCTTCCCATCCAGGCGAGCTTTACTGTAACATTTCCCACCCGCTGCCCACAGTCGAAACAAATATAACGTCACTCCTAAACAGGAAAAAAACAGGAAAAATCCTGTCTCATTGACTAATATCGAAAATTACTGTAGAATCACTTATTTTCGTGGTTGGGGGGGGGGGGGAGAATTGGTTCGTGGGAATTTGATTTGGTTAACGAAGTGTTTAGTTGTTTTATAATGGAAAATTGACATTTCGTGGAGGACTTGAATTCTTAGGTCTCTTCAAACCATGAGAAGAATGAAAATAAAACCCCACGAAAATTTGTGATGTTAAAGTATATTAAGAACATGGCTTCCCATTAATTCTCGGACAGTCAGATTGCGATTTCAGGCTTCCTCTTCTTTACCATTGCTTAATTAACAACGATGATGAGCAAGAACGTGACCTTATGCTTCTAAATTTCTTTGACCATTTGGTCGAAAAAGAGGGTTTAGGTCACAGGCACTTGTTTCGGTAATAAATTTTTAACCCATAGTGTAATAATAACACAAGGTATCTAACTCCGAATTACACGGAGTACCCCCCTCCCCCAGAATCGCACTCATTTACATTTTCTGAGGAAATACACTGACAAACTGTTTATACCTATGTTTTCTACGATAATTTATCTACACAACCATATATGGCATGCTTGTCTTTATTTTCTTTAGTTCCGTAAACAGCGTCAAAACTCTGCTCGCCGTGTGGAAAAGTCGAATTCAACCATGAAATGGTATATGCTAATCCCGCACAGAGAACAAAATTAAAAAATGAGTGGGTTTAAAAATTCAATTCCAGTGTTTAAATATTGCATGAGTAAATAGAACTTGTTTACGTCTGATTTTCCCTGAAAACATTACGATGTTTATCCGATGTAATTTTAGAAACAGATTTTTAGCCAATCAAAATCTCTGTGCGGGATTAGCACATACTATTTCATGGTTGAATTCGACTTTTCCGCTCGACGAGCAGTTTTGACGCTGTTTACGGAGACTAAAGAAAATAAAGACAAGCATGCCATATAAGGTTGTGTAGATAAATTATCGTAGAAAACATAGGTATAAACTTTGTCAGTGTATTTCTTCTGAAAGTGTAAATGAGTGCGATTCTGGGGGAAGGGGGTACTCCGTGTAATTCGGAGTTAGATACCTTGTGTTATTATTATACTATGGGTTAAAAATTTATTACCGAAACAAGTGCCTGTGGTTTAGGTGTATTTATGGAGATGAAAGTCATGCAGACGCTACATGTACATGGTTTGGTCCAAGACTATCTTGTTCGTATTGGTAAGAGGCGTGTTCTCACCCTTCTCTCACACAGGCACTTGTTTCGGTAATAAATTTTTAACCCATAGTATAATAATAACACAAGGTTTCTAACTCCGAATTACACGGAGTACCCCCTTCCCCCAGAATCGCACTCATTTACACTTTCAGAAGAAATACACTGACAAACTGTTTATACCTATGTTTTCTACGATAATTTATCTACACAACCTTATATGGCATGCTTGTCTTTATTTTCTTTAGTCTCCGTAAACAGCGTCAAAACTGCTCGTCGAGCGGAAAAGTCGAATTCAACCATGAAATAGTATGTGCTAATCCCGCACAGAGATTTTAATTGGCTAAAAATCTGTTTCTAAAATTACATCGGATAAACATCGTAATGTTTTCAGGGAAAATCAGACGTAAACAAGTTCTATTTACTCATGCAATATTTAAACACTGGAATTGAATTTTTAAACCCACTCATTTTTTAATTTTGTTCTCTGTGCGGGATTAGCACATACCATTTCATGGTTGAATTCGACTTTTCCACACGTCGAGCAGAGTTTTGACGCTGTTTACGGAGACTTAAGAAAATAAAGACAAGCATGCCATATATGGTTGTGTAGATAAATTATCGTAGAAAACATAGCTATAAACAGTTTGTCAGTGTATTTCCTCAGAAAGTGTAAATGAGTGCGATTCTGGGGGAGGGGGTACTCCGTGTAATTCGGAGTTAGATACCTTGTGTTATTATTATACTATGGGTTAAAAATTTATTACCGAAACAAGTGCCTGTGTTCTCTCACCTTAAAAGGATATGTCTTTTGGGAAGCAGATGATGGGCATATTGCACGTCAAATTAAAAAAAAATATAAGCTAAATATAGTTTCATTTTTTATCAACTGAAAACTATAGTTTACGGACCGTAAATTATAGTTAACGGCGTTAATCTACGTATTTCATATCTCTAAACCATATTTTTAAAATACCTTAATCTACGTTTCGCAAGTATAAACCATACTTAATACGAAAGTAATCAATTAAATAAATTGCGATTGCAAAACATAGTTTATTACATTTTCAACAGTGAAATACTGTGATTTATTTATTGAATAAAAGTGATATTCTCTCACAGTGTGAAAGGATACCAAAATGATATTCTCTCACAGTGTGAAAGGATATCAAAGTAAGTAAAAAATAATTTCTGCCTGTCATAAGATATAGTAAATAACCATCTTAATAGAGCTAAAACTGCAAATTTCTTCTCAAATATGTTGCTAAAATCTATGCTATGTAATGGTTTCAATCTCACAACTGGTAAGCTATGACATCTCAACCACTCAACTATGACGTTAAGCCTATGACACTGTGTTACGAAAAGACAGAGGCAAAGGGAAAATTAAAAAAAATGTAATAAACAGAAAATTCAATGTTTTGTAGATGAATATGGAATTTATTTCACTCGTGAGACAGGATATTTTGATATTTTCACTCGTGATTCGCACTCGTGAAAATATCAAAAAATAATTTCCATATTCATCTACAAAACATTGAATATCCTCTATTTATCTGAAAAATACGGTTTGACGATTTATAAACTATGGTTTACAACTCTATTATTATATAGTTAACAATTGTTAATTACAGTCAACGGTTGTAAACTATAGTTTACAAATATTTAATGCGCCTAATTAAAAAGTGTTATAAATATAAATGTAGTTCTACAGTTCGGAAACGCAGTATAACGATAGCATGTCATCTCTCACTTTGTATCGAAAATGTACAATTTATTTTAATACAAACGGGGAGTAACTCTAAAACTTTGACCGTGATCGATGCCAAAAATTTTTAGGGATGCGCGATTTTATCGGTATACCGGTATTATTGTGCGATACATATCGTGATACGGAGACTAAAATACCGGTATTTGGTATATAGCAATAAATTCCGGAAATTATTCATTCATTTGTTCAAACTATTAAATGACAATGACTGGAAGTGTAAAAAATATTGAAAACAGTTAAACAACGGCATTCAAAAAAAAAAACAAAACAAAAAAAACAATGGGTCGGGCCACTTTGAAAGGGGCAGTCAGGGCCATAGGGAGTTGTGGTATAAAATTTCATTGCAAAATCTCAACGTTTCTTGAGATATCGCCCGGAAACGAAAGTGTTACACACAGACAGAAAAACAGACAAATATCCCCATTTTCAATGAAAGAGGGGGGGGGGGCAATTATACTTTCAGACCACATGCATAGAAAAAAAAAAACCAGAAAATAATACTCTGTTAAACATTTTACAAACAGTTTACAAACATATGGCAAAAGGTTTTCTTTAAATTCTATGAAAGATTTATTGATTAATAAGTTATACCATGTGATTTATCTCTCTTTAATAATTGGTCGTATCGGCAATATCCTCATCGTTGACAATACCCATTCAGATATAACAGGAAAGGAAAAAATGCATGGTTGGACTGGGAATCGAACCCGGCGGGACGTACCCCTGCATCTCTAGTCAGGTGCTCTACCGACTGAGCTATCCAGGCCGATATTCACAACCCTAATCAATACATTCCTCCCACCTTAAATTGTCTTCGTCCTCGAAAACACAAACTAAGTTCTTATTGCCCCTATCAGGACTTTCACCTGCAAGTCCAGAGTGGCACCAAATTATGTTAACAGGAAAGGAGAAAATGTATGGCTGGACCGGGAATCGAACCCGGGATCCTACATCCCTGCTCTACCGACTGAGCTACCCAAGCCGATATCCACGGCCCGAACTTACACAGAGAAATGAATGCATATCATGTTCCCGTTCAACTGAAACGTTTTGTAAAGGACAAATTTATGGTTTAAATAGCAGACCGTAGCTTTTGAATGCGTAATTCCAAGCGACCCATTATCAAGGGTTATATGAGGTCTTTTGCAGACTATTAATTGACATATCAATACTTATCCCCCTTCTTTCGAATTAAATGCACTCATTTGTCGCTAAGCCTATGTTCATTACTGCAACACGTCATTCAATGCAACCATTGCTCGAGTTGCTTTTCTTTGTTGCAACTCTGGCGTAAATTTAAAGTCGATCGACTACAACGCATTAAGCAATAAAACATAGATTGTTATTTATATTATATGTACCTGTGACGATCAGACTTGCAATTGCAGTTTGATGTTCGGAAAGAAAACTCCTTAACTCATCCATGGCGTTTTCTTCCTTCTTGTACGGAGACCCTTTATGGCAACTTTTGGTGTAAAAAAAAATGCCACGAAACTGGTGAATTTTGACTATGAAAACATCCTAAGTTTCGATTCTAATGATACAATAAGATAAATCGTTATGGAACCTGTGGCACCTTTTGCAAGAAAAAAAAAAAAATTACGACTAAGAAAAAAATGCATGTCTCATTCCACAACAAGTATTTTAGCTATAGGACACTACAAAACGGTCACCCGAGTATAATACAACAATTTAGAGGATCAAAATAGTATAAAATAAACCATGCGCTGGTCTAGAGGGTGGGGGCGGACCCCCCCCCCCGGAACTTGCAGAGTTATAAAATGTATATACAGTGTACTGAAGCAAATAAAAAATGACTTTGGACACCCCCTCCCCCCCCCCCCCCCGAAAACGTGGACTCCACCATCACCACCACGAAATAGGTATTTTCACGTTTTAGAAATGGAATTTACGTTTTTTTATTTTTATTTGGTTTTTTTGTGTGTGTGTTTTTGCTTTGTTGTTGTTGTTGTTTTTTTGTTTTGTTTTGTTTTGTTTTGTTTTGTTTTGTTTTGTTTTTTTGCCTGTCAAGTAATTTTCCGGGTTTAATATGTTTGGGAAGGGAATTTAGGGGTTTTTTTGTCTTTTTTGCTGACAGGGTTGGAACCAACCCCCCCCCCCCCTTCCTGGAAAAAATTTCTGGATCCGCGCCTGTAAACTGATATATGAAGCTTAATAAAACATCCTTAATCATTGACTATTCCATACCCATAGCAATAAATGAAATGTACTTAAATGGCACAGGCAAAGAGCTTTAGATTTTGCTTAAAAAACGTTGTTAGAAAAAAATTTCTGATCGTGATTTTTGTCTCCCCTTCCATGGAGAGACATATTGTTTTTGTCGATTTTCTTCTTCTTTTTCTTCTTATTCTTCTTCTTCATCCAAATTTTTCCAGGCCGTAACTTAAATACCCTTTGACATTACGACTTCAAACAGATGACGTTAAGAAAAAGTGCATGCCACCAAAGTTTTTGACCTCGACATATTTATAAGGTCAAGATCAATCGTCCAGGCCATAACTTGAGATCCCTTTGATATTAGAACTTCAAACTTGTAACATAGAAAGAAGACATTAATACAAGATACACTGCATAAGATTTTTTACCTGGCTCCTTTCTCCCTTCAAGGTCAAATAGAAAATAAACACGATTTGACCATAACTTGAGAATCCTTTGACATTAAGATTTCAAACTTGGAACATGCAGAGGTGGAGAAGGTGTGCATGCCATCAAAGTTTCTGACGTTGATCCAATTATTATAAGGTCGAGGTCAATCTTTTAATTAAATACTATATTTAAAGGGTTCTCAAGTTATGGTTAAGTCGTGTTCTCTCAATTTGACCTTGATGAAGAAAGGGGTCAAGATCAAAATTTTGGTGCAGTTCATCTGTATCAATGTCTTCTTACTATGTTACAAGTTTGCAATCCTAATATCATCAAAGGGTTCTCAGGTTATGGCTTGGACTCTATTTCGATGTAAAAGATTGACCTTGGGCTTATAAATTGGACCAAGGTCAAATATTTTGGTCGAGTGCATTCTTCCTTCATACCACCTTAATGGATGGTATGAAGAATGGATTCTTAAGTTATAGTCTAATCAAGTTTTTTCTCTATTTGACCTTGGGGGAAGCTTAAAAAAGGGGTCAAGAAAAAAATTTTGATGCGTTGCATCTTGTATCAATGTCTTGAAGTCCTAATATCAAAGGGTACTCAAGCTATTAATTTGTAAGGTCAAGGTCAATCTTTTACATCAAAATAGAGGTAAAGCCATAACCTGAGAACCCTTTGATATTAGGATTGCAAACTTGGAACATAGTAAGAAAACATTGATACAAAATGCACTGCACCAAAATTTTGACCTTGACCCCTTTCTTCATCAAAGTCAAATTGAGAGAACACGACTTGGTTATAACTTGAGAACCCTCATGACATTAAGACTTCAAACTTGGAACATGGAGAGGTGGTATAGAGGAGGCGTGATTTTTTTTCACCTTGACCTATTACTAAAGTCAATCTTTTACATGAAAATATAGTCCAGGTCATAACTTTTTGACATTAGGGTTTCAAACTTGGAACAAGGAAATACAACATTAAGACTAAATGCACTGCATTAAAATATTTGACCTTTGCCGCTTTCTTCATTCAAGGTCAAATAAAGAAAAACACGACCACACCATAACTTAAGATCCGTTTGACATGAAGACTTGAAATTTTGTACACAGATCGTGGAATGCATCATTATTTTTGGCCCTGATCGTATTATTGCACTCGTTAATGTTGGTAAAGAAAATGTTTAAAAAAAAAAGAAGAAAAAAAACAATACCCACTAGTTTAAATTGAACTGACCAAACAAGTTTCAAATACTTTGATATAATGTGATCCAGCATATTCACTTCATATTATCCATGTAGCTGTCAGATTTTATTCATGATTTAAGTGTCATTCTCTATAAATTGTTTTGTCCATGAGTTCTCATAATATTTTGAGTATCCCTTCTTACATTACGTTATATTATGATTTTAATGCCATTTTCTCCTACAGGCGCGGATTTAGGAATTTTTACCAGGGGAGGGGGATCTATATCAACTCTAACAAATCTCATACTCGGAAATTTTTTGCCCCCCCCCCAAAAAAGTAAACAACTTGCCCAAAACTGAAAAACGTATTTCGTGGCGAGGAGGTGTTAATGTAGACACTTTCCATAGACGATTTTCTTCAGAAACATGACTACTTTCCTTTTTAAGAGGGGTCAGTCTTTCCTAGGTGGGGTCCAAGGTGATTTTTACAAAGAAATTTAATAAATCTTGAATTCCAGGGGGTCCAGACTCCCGTCCTTCCCCCCCATCCCCCGATCTTTGCTTGTCCTATTTGCATGAATAAAATATTGCTTTTCATAAACAAATTTTCTGAATTTTGACCTCTACGATTTCAAATAAATTAACTTCATTCCAAAAATCACCGACACTTTTAATTCGGTAAAAAAAACTGAATTTTATTACGTTTTATCAGAAACATTTTTTTTTCTTTCAAATAAGATTGTTCTCATTCCCTCAATCTCTAGACTTGCTGCTTTTTTCATCGCCCTGGAAGAAAACAGATACAGAAAGTGTAAAAAACAAAAGAATGGAATAATAAAATCATTGACTTTACACAATTAGAAAGATAAAAGAAAGGTATTTAAAGTACAGACATAAATTTTACCTTGAAATAATCTACTCCAATAAAAAACAGTTTCCGTGGTCCAAACAAGCTATCATCTTCATCGTCATCATCGCCATCGTCTTTGCTGGCATTCAGAAACTAAGAAAAAATGTAAAGTTGTAATATAAGTACTTGAAATTATATTCTACTACTACTATTTCATACGAAAAAAAAAAAAAATTTTGCAAATCCTCATAAGGATAGCAAAACAATATTTTAAAAAGGAAAAATATGCACTTTCAAGTTTTTTCACGAGTTGCCTTACTTTACTAGTTTGCCTTTACCTTACTTGCTACAGCTGATAATTATGTAAGGTTTGTTATTGTAATTTTTATATTATACAGGTAAACTTCGTTATCACGACATCGACGGGACCATCGGAAAATGTCGAGATATCCGAGGTGTCGAGATATCAGAGTTGAGACTTGACGTCCAAGATTTCATTGCATAGCAAAACAGACAAGCTTATTATATGTACATGACTTTAATATAGACTGTAGCTCAACATATTTCAGAATTCCCTCTATTTTTATTAAAAATCTAAGAAGTTATTTTAAAAATCTTGTTTATAAAACGTGTTCCTTATCGAAATCTTTCTAAATTCACAAAGTTTCAGCAACAAGTTACAGCATTGAGCTGCATTCGAGTGTAACTTGCCTTTTCGTCAGAACAGGATACGAAATGCGCTCTATAAACTTCGAACCGTATAAAGTCGACATCCGATATACGGTAAAAAAAAATAATAAATGCGGATTATTTTTTCTTATTTCATTCAGAAAGAATGTACAATAAAATTAATTTTTTAAAGAGATTTGTGTATCTAAACTAACGTACAGTGATGTTACGGATGCACGAATTACGACTGATTCTGTCTATCGTGTCGTTAATTGGATTGTTTCCTGTTGAATACATTTTAACTACAAAATATCATTAAAACTTTTTTTTTAATTCCTTAGTATGAATTTTTCAGTGAGTTTTTGTTATTCATTGTCATTTAGTTATCTTTTTCAAATTTAAAAGTTATGTTACGTTTCGATATAAATAACATTCTGTACATCTACGCAGAATCGTGTAGATTTAGCGATGATATTACCCAAGCTCAATTAACTTCTCAAAGACGCCGAAGGGGCTTGGGATTCACCTACAAACACAGTCTATAAAATTAATTAAGCAGCGTGCAGTCAAAACATTGGTGTGAAAGGTGTGAAACTTTGACGACGTCGTGATACCCGGAGTCGTCCGTGCGTGACGAGCGACCCTGTCTGACAAACAGTTAGGTTCAGTAGAGCAGAAAATTGCCGATGTCGACATATACCAGGTAAATTTTGCTCTTGGGACTATGAATATACGTCGAGATAACCCGGGTTGTCGACATTACCGAGGTCGACATATCAGAGATTTTGCAAATCATTTATTAATAATATAAAGTGAATACTGCCGGGACCGCGGGAGGATGTCGACATATCCCAGGTTGTCGACATATCCGATGTCGAGATACCGAAGTTTACCTGTAGTTACCTTTCTCCTGTCTGGAGCCTGTTGTTTCCTTGCTACCTCACCACTCTCTGGGTCTGCTACCATTCCTTTCTCTGTTACTTCCTGTTTAATTGCCGTCTCATTCTGTGGGGGACCTTGTTTTTCTGTGGAAGTATACTGTTCTTTCCTTGGATATAGTGTATTGTTTCTATATCTGCAACAATCCTTTCCTCTTTGTTAACTTGTTTCCATGCATTCCCCGGATCTGCCTCATATTTTACTTCTTGGAGAGCTTGGTTCTTTGTATTGGATCTTAAAAATCTTTTGTAGAATTGGGTCATTTTTTGTGATCGTTTCTCTAATGGAGTATACATTTAAGTTTGTTAAGAGCAATGTTTCTGATCTAGGATGGAGGCACAAATGCGGCTGAAGATTTTCATTGGAGTATAATCGGAATCCTATTTCAATTATTGAGCTCGAAAATATTCTCAGATCCTGAGAAGGCATTCCTCGGCACTTATTCTTGGAATATTAAAACTTAAAGCTGAAATAAATCTCCAACATATACCGTTGTTGCCCAAAAGCAAGAGAGATAGGATGGTCCGGATCAAGGAAATAATTAATCAACTCATAAAGTAAGTTCTAATTTGTCCCCCATTTATCACTATCATCATACAGACTAATTAACAAAATATGAGTGCTTCCGTATTATTCTACCCCTATATTGTTACCACTCACGTTGGCCTTTCTTTGTCTTTGAAGAACATTTAAAAAATAAGATGAGATATTTTTGCCTCATTTTTAATTTTTTATATATATATATTTATTTATTATTTAAAAGTCTATATGATCATTAAAACTAAGAAAGTACTTTTTGTATAATAAAAATTCTTGCACAATTCTCTTATTCTATTTACCTTTTAAAATACATTATTTACAGTGATTAATTATATCAAAGGTGAATGGCAAAGGGTAATAACTTCTCTCAGTAGAATACAAATTAATAGAGCCTTTGCCAGGACCAGAACACTTGACCAAATGGTCCAAATATTCAAAAATCTAATAAAGATATCCTTATTTAAAACTTTTACTCTGTTTACCTCCGATATGTCCAGGAGCAGAGAAGATTTTCAAAGAAATAAATAAATGCATTTCCAATACAGATTCAACACAGTCCAACACTAATACCAGAACCCATGACCCAGGGACACGAATTTCCCCAATATGGAAGAGGTACCCTCGTCATCATAACTATGCACTCAGTTGAAGTTTTTCAAAGAATTAACACATTTTCACTATATTATCAATAACCCCCTCAAGAAACACCAGAACCCCTTACCCTGAGATCACAAGTTGTAAAAATTTTATAAGAAGCACCCTCATAATTATGCGCTTTGTTTATCTGCTCAGTACTTAGAAGCAGACAGGATATTTTAATAGAATTAATGCATTTTCACTATATCATCAATAGAGCCCCACCCTTACACCAGAACATCTGACCCAAGGGGCCATGTAACTCCCAATTCTAGAAGAGAAACCCTTATACACTTAGTTTCTTTGCTTTATAACTAAGAGCAAAAAAGAATGTTTTCAAAGAAATTAGTCTTTTTCGCTGTATACTGTGAAATCAGTAATTTTCATGCATGGGGGGAGTTGATTTTCGTTGTTCTCGAGGTATGAAGAGATTCACGAAATCATGTCCATCATGAAATGTAAAATGTCATATTCATAACTGCTCAACGATTCTTCATCCATGAAATCAAATCCCCACGAACCCATATTTTTTTCTCAAACCACGAAAATTTGACTCAACGAAAATATGTGATTTTACAGTAACAATAGAGCTCCCCTTTCACAAGAACCCTGGGGCCAGGAATTTCACAATTTTGGAAGAGACATCCTTGCTTATCATAACCATTCACTTAGTTTGTTTAAATAATACCCAGGAAAAGATTTTCAAACAATTAATGCATTTTCAATATATAATCAATAGAGCCCCATCCAAACACCAGAATCCCTGACCCATGGCCATGAAATTCAAAATTTTGGAAGAGCTAGGCCCTCTTGCTCATAACTATTTACCTAATTAGTTCGTTGGTAAATACCTAGAAGCAGAGAAGAAGATTTTCAAACAATTCATGCATTTTTACTATATAATCAAAAGAGCCCCACCCTAACACCAGAACCCGTGACCCTGAGGCCATGAAATTCACAATTTTGGAAAATACACCCTTGCTCATTATAACCATGTGCTTAGCTGGTTTGTTAAATACCCAGGAGCAGAGAAGAAGACTTCAAAGAAATAATGCAACTTTCACTATATGATCTATATAGCCCGGCCCACCCTAGCACCAGAACCCGTGACACTGGGTCATGAATTTCACAACTTTGGAAGAGGACTCAACGCTTATTACAATCATGACAAAAGTTTGACCGCATGCTTGATGCCCAAGAGTAAAGAAGGAGATTTTTAAAGATTGCATTAAATTTGGTGGTTTTAGCCCCATCCCTCAGGTTCCAGGGGGGCAGGGACCATGAAATTCACAATTTTGTTCCACTTCACTCATAGATACTTTATGCAAAAATTGGTTGAAATGGGTTCAGCGGTTCCAGAGAAGAAGCTGAACATGGTCAAATGTTAACGGACGACGCACGTCGCACGACGACGGACAAAAACAGATCGCAATAGGTCACTCGAATGACTCAGGTGACCTAAATAAAAATCTTTTATATTTCTATTACATTAGATAAAATATTAAAGAAAAAATAAAAATATTTAATTTTTAAAAAAATATTACAGAGTTGTCAAATTGTTATCTCAGTCGTAAGATGTTTTGTCCCCAGAACTCCTCATTTTCTCAGCAGCCAATCCATCCTTTTGGAATAAGCCTATAATTGATGGTGTCCTGTAGATGTTTAATTGGGTTTTGGAATTTTTAAATTCACCATGGGGGCTAATTTGGCGTCGAAACGGAATTTTAATTTTCACCCTGGGATCCAATATAGAAGGTTTTAAAAAAAAAAACATGAATTTTTCTATGAAATCTTCACAGAACTCCTCTTACATTTCATGTAGTAGCCAAACCATCTTTTGGCGAATGATTGTGGTGTCCTGTAGATGCGCAAAAAGTTTCGGAATTTTCAATTTTCTTAGGGAAGGGGAGACACTGGCAAAAAAAAAAGCAAAAAAAAAAAAAAAAACATTTTTCTTCATAATTCATGTTTCCAGGAATTCTCTTTCATTTTACACAGAATACAAATCATCTTTTGGAATATTATTGGTGGTGTCTTGTAGATGTAAATGTACAAGAGGGATTCGGAATTCTTATTTCAATCCAATATAGGGTCGAAAATTTTAAGCTCCTTTTTAAACAGAACTTATGCTTCATTAAATTCTTTATCATACTAGTACTGAATTTATTATATGAGTTATTAACGTAAGAGGCTCATTGGCCACATGCTCACCTAGGCATTTTATGCTTTTAAAATGGGATACTGTTTAAAATTATGCCAATTATAGAATAAATATTGCGACTTCATCAATGGTTACCAAGAAGAGTATATTTAGAGACAACACTGTGTGTATTACTGTCTTATGTCGGCATCTATGTACAGAGTCACAGTAGTTTTTAGTCACACTGGGTCATGCAAGGATCGGGGGGGGAGGGTTCGCCCCCCCCCGGAATTTGCGGAGTTATTAAATGTACCTAGTAACTAAAGTAGTGTCAACAAATTTCTTTTGGGGGGGGGGACTTGGGTGGAATTCTCCCTTTGGAAAACATCTTGGATCCGCGCCTGAGAGTTGTCAATTTTTATTATACCTTTCAAAAGAAAGTACGGGTGTAATACTCCGGTCGTCAGTCACACTATCTTCTTTTTCAAACTTCTCATATTTTAAGCAGTAACCAATTCATTTTTACTTCTTATCTTAAATATGATTGGTGGTATCCTGAAGATGTGCAATAAGGTATCGTCAATTAGACAGATATATCGACAAACTTTTTATCATTTCACAATATATATCTATATATATCCTAGTAATTAAACTTTAAATTAAAAAAAATACTACATACTGCGACAATCACATCTGTTTCATATTTGGATTTTTCGGACTTGTATGACGTTTATGCCTAACTGACAAACGGGACGATATCAGCTTTACTACCGTCAACCTCATTTTTTTGTAGTAGCATAGTATTGTAGTAACTTTATCACCTGAGTATGTGTTTATGTCTTCCAAGTGATTCGATTTGCAAAAGCATGCTCTGAGTACGACCAATTTTTAAACCGAAGCAGGCTACTGACATTTAAGTTGATGTAACAGGGCTTTCAACAATCTCATTTAAAGTCAGCATTTTGCAAATTCTATGGTCTTAATAATAACTTGCATATGCAACCTATCCTTGGATCATTAATAGGCCATTGTTTTATATATTTTTGACTGTGGGTTACTCCATTTCAGAGATTATATTGAAAATCCTGATTGTTTTTCTTATATTTCGACCAATCACATTAAATCTTTCGGTTCCAAACAACCTTTGACACTTGCATTGAGGTGTTAACTGCTTACTTTCTATGTCAACTTATGAAAGCTCTAATTTGATTGGTACCTCTCAATAAGAGAAACTGGCCCGACAAAAATCGAAAGAAGCCTGTCATGATGTCTACATGATTCCACTCCACGAATGGAATCATGTAGAATCCCTGACATTGCGAGGATGCAGGATGTTTAGATTAACATTAAACTACATCATGACCCCTTGGGGCTAAGATGGGACCACAAAATTGGGTAAGAATTTTTCATGTGAATTATGTTGGAATTTTTATTCTTTATACTACAACACTCAGTATAATTCTACAAGACTTTAAGAAACACTTGTCAGAGAGAGGCGACTCTGATACTGAAATAGACCCTATCATCGCAAGCATAAGTGAAGCAGACAGAAAGGAGATCTTTAATAAAAGCAACAAACAATTGAAACTCCAAAATAAATTAGTTATGGTTACAAAATACAATCCTAGAATCAAGGGATTAAAAAAACGCATCTTAAAATATTGGAACGAAATGAAAACAGACATAAGATGCAAAGAAATATTTACATCAGATCCAATTATAGCTTATAGCAAGGACAAAAGCATAGGCGATATAATTATTAGATCATGTTTACTACAAGACTAATATTGCTAAGGTGGACCCCTGAAGAGGCAGGCCTTAGGGCAAGTACCCGTTAAAAACCGCCGAAACACTCTTTACTATATTAATATATATATACAAGTATGTACTAAAAAGGAAACAATGTCGAAAAGTTTGGTTTAGAGTGTCGGGTCCTAATTACTTTAATGGACGAGTTTGGCAGATTGATGTCCTTTTTTTCACACCATGAACACTGAGCTAAAATGGCTCAGGTGAGTGTTTTGACCAGTGGGCCTCTTAAGTAAATTGCTGGACACGAACAAGTAACTCCTGATGACATGAATATAGTTAACAATCAGGACTTTAAATCACATATTTTAAAAAGGCCACAAGTAATAGGGAACCACGAACATTCAACTTGCATCAAAATTTCATAAATATTATGAATTCCGTCAAAGATAAAGCCAGGTGATGGGCCAAACATGAAAAAAAAGACCTTGGCACTTTGTCTGAATGGATTAAAAGTATCAGATGGATGTTGAAATCTTGCATTAAATGGCTGAAAGGTTAAATGAAAGCCACATATCATTTTGCCTAAGATAATTCAGTAGTGAAAAAAGAATTAGATAGATTACATGATCAGTATGTATGATCCCTGCTGGCAAAGGATGTAACAACATTGTCTTTGTTAGTAAGGCTCATTATTTAATTGTATTTTAGAGGAACTTGGATTTAATTCTGCAAGTGGTTATCAAACTCATACTCATAGTTCCCTCTCTAAGGGAGGAAATTCTTCAAAATCATATGTCAGTTTTAAATAATTTTTATTCCTTTCAATCAAATTGAATTCAATTTACCATACCTAAACATAAAAATCCCTACAATCAAATTAAATTCAATTTACCATACCTAAACATAAAAATCCCTACAATCAAATTAAATTCAATTTACCATACCTAAACATAAAATTCCTTACAAACATAGATACATAGCAGGTTCCAGTAAATGTTCTTCCAAGCCTCTTTCTTTACCCCTCACCAAAATATTTACAGCAGGGAAGGAGACACTTCAGGAGTACTGTACAGCAACATATTGAGAAGCTGTGTTTATCAAATATGGATCCTTAAAACTTGTTCATTATCATCATACTTTGTTTAAGACATTCACCCCATATTTGCTTTGATTAATTCCCCTTTCAGCACGGTGTGGCGGAAAACCGTGAAAAATTGAAAAGGTCGTAATTTCATCAAAAATCATTGAAGCGGAACGAAATGCAAACTTGAACTGTAACTCATCAAGATACACTCACATACCCAAAATCAGCTCAATAACTGCAAGTGTTTAGAAAAAAAGTGCGGAAAACCAAGTGGAACAGACTGACAGAGGTACAGACAGACAGACAGACGGACGGACAGACTCAGAGGAAACCTATAGTCCCCTCCGGTTTCAATGGTAGGGGACTAATAAAAGGAGGATGGATTTTAAATGTTTTTTCAGAAACTCATCATGGTCATTGTTCCTTTGATGGCAGATTTAGAGAAGCACATCAAACTATCTTTTCCCTTTATGCTGACCAATTTAAACTTTTATGTTGCACTGCATTAAATCAAAACATGAGATATATACATTGTTTTATACTCTTCTTTTCTAAATATCAAAAGAAATGTATTCCAAGCCTAAATCATTTCTTTTTTTTCCTGACTGACGTATAAATTCCACTGTACAACTGTAGCTAGACCAAATAATAAAATATTTATTCTACAAATGTCAACAACTGAACAGACTTTTCCATTGATTTTTATTGGAAAATACATCTTTGTACAAAAATCTGTACTACAGTATAATGGTACAATAATGAACTATAAAAGTGGAAGGAAGAAAATACTCTCAGTTTCTTTGAGCCAATAAAGCTGGAATAGTATTATTTTGATGTATTCTGTTTTAAATGAGATGATAAAAAATGAAAGAACAAAATTCAAAACATTATCAATGAAATAAATCAAGTATGTAGGGCACTCAGGCAATATACACCTCCAACAATACACTTCTTCCTGCTTTTTTTCCTACAACATCTGTAAGAAAATCTCCAGTATTTCTTTATATACCGGTACTTGATCTGTCTTTCTTGTCTACATTGTAGTGTGACTAACTACAGACTACCAAAAATCATGCTTTTCATCCTCTAGTAGTTACTGGTTAAGTGTATAAGGGTGAGTCCTCAAAGATAGACAGACATACAACAGATGACGTATTCCTGCATGTCTGACATGCACTGAAGGGCAAGATTCCTGGATCATAAACCTGATCAAAATCTAAAAGGTAATCTGTAGCCGCAGATACTAAACAATGCATTAACTTCTGCAATATTGTCAGGTGATAATATAACCTTTCTCTAAGTTCACTGAAGGATCCATTATCTTATATCAATGTTAAGAGAATTCTTTTCATGCACAGATTACAGTATGCTATTCTCATGATAATGTTAGTTTGAGGTTAACAAGAAGTACATTATCTCTGTTTTACAAAACTTTAAACCTCCTCTCTCTTTCTCTTCTGTACACATACAAAGCATAAGCTACACAGATCTGACTAGAAATTAAGCATGCCCCTGTCTTTGATTGTCTTGAACTGGTCCGGAATCTCCATGAGTGCATGAAGAGCAAACGCCGCCTGTGGATTCCTGGATGTTGTCATAATCTTATGGAAATCTACAAACTGAAAGTTGTCAAATTTCCTTCGTGGTAAACGGTCATCAAAATCCTCCATGATATCCCATGGTCCATCACCCACTCCAACCATAACTATCGACAATGGCCAACTGGAGGCTTCGACTATAGCATTGATGGTATCTCTCTCATTGGTGACCTGTCCATCAGCAACAATGACTAGAATGTGATACTGAAAGAGAACCATTCACACATAAAAAATCTCAAAAGCTGATTCATATTGTATGAAACTTAATACAGTAATAAACGAAGCACTGGGGAAGTGGATTTACTTTGCTACATAATTTGTTTTATGCATACATCTGTACAAGCAATTCATAAAAGTATATTTAGCAAATTTGCAATATACTTTCTTCTTATGACCATCAGATATGATCGCTGAAGTATTAAATACATAATTATATCTTTAATTGATTTTAATTAAACAGTCATCACAGAATAAGCAATGTAAAATACAATTCAATACCATATGATACAAGTTTAGTAAAATTTCAATAGTAAAGAATATCAAATTAATATTTTTAATTATAGGGACCATAAAAATTTGTTATAAAAATGTAAATTATGTTATTCATAACCTCTAAGCAGCTGCCTCTAGGGGGCACAAAATCAACTTGCTATATCTGTGAAGAAGTCATTTCATCAGAGTTTGTTATAACCATAAAAGTTTATAAAGAATTATGAAGAATGTTGCAGGGGACTCCAAAAAACTTCCCAATATCTGTAAAATCACTATAGCTGTGTTTGTACAAATTGACTTTTACTATATACCGGTATGTATATATATATATGATTATAGATACAATAAACAGAAGATGGTACAATGTATCTTGCTTTTCTTGTATAAAATTTATATAAGATTTTGTTTTCCTCTTTACCATATACTGATGTACCAGCAAATTTAGAAGAGACCTAAGAATAACATTGTTTAAGTATGACATGAATGTGTATCACCTACCGATCGCTCATGTTTTACAATTTCTATGGCTTTGTAGATAAGGGGAGCAAAGTTGGTTCCTCCACTAAGCCGAATGTTTGGTGTTATCTGGTTGTACATCTCCAGGACATCATGGAAACCATAACAAAAACCCTATTTAAATCAAACCTAAAGGTCAGTTGGGGTTCTTAAATGAATAAATTACTCTTAAAAAATAGAGACAGTGTAAATGCATGGGATCTTATCAAGTTAAAAGGGATCATATTGAAACATTCCACTTTGAAAATTACTACTTTTATTAGTGCTTTTGATAGTAAATGTACTGACAATTTTAATATTACTGCCAAGTAGAAAACAATTCTATTTCATTTGTTCTATTTAAAAAATCCCACTAACCTCTGCTCTAAATGGGAATACAGCTTTATCCCTGGTTGAAGCATCACCAAATCCAAATGCTGGAATTTTACCATCATCATCAAATGATTCCAGTGTCTCACCAAGGATACAAATCACCTGAAGATAATTTAATATAAAACTTTATATTTTCATATCATTTACATCAACATGCAGTTTTCTTTTAAAAATTAGAAGAGTCCTATATTCTTTACACTCTAATGATAAAGTGACCTGTATTTGGCAAAAATTAAAATCATGAAAGCTATTGAGAGAAAATGCAGTGAAAAGGAAGAAGCAACAGGAAACAAGAGGCCCATGGGCCACATCGCTCACCTGAGTAACTTTGGCCATGCTGTTCATTACCAGACTTCCCCCATTGTAATACCTATTGTGGCCCCGCCCTACCCCCAGGGGCCATGATTTGAACAATTTAGAATCTACACTACCCCAGGATGCTTCCACATAAGTTTCAGTTTTTCTGGTCCAGTGGTTCTTGAGAAGATTTTTAAAGATTTTTCCTGTATATTTCAATGTGAAACTTGGGATTCCCTATTGTGCCCCCTCCCCCCCCCCCCATCCCCGGGGTCATGATTTGAACAATTTAGAGTGTACACTACTTGAGGATGCTTCCACATAAGTTTCAGCTTTTCTGGCTCAGTAGCTCTTGCCTATATATTTCAATGTAAAACTTGTATTCCCTATTGTGGCCCCGCCCTACCCCCAGAGGTCATGATTTTTACAAATTAGAATCTACACTATCCCAGGATGCTTCCACATAAGTTTCAGCTTTTCTGGCTCAGTGGTTCTTAAGAAGAAGATTTTTCAAGATTTTTCCTATATATTTCAATGTAAAACTTGGATTCCCTATTGTGGCCCCGCCCTACCCCCGGGGGTCATGATTTTAACAATTTAGAATCTACACTACCCCAGGATGCTTCCACATAAGTTTCAGTTTTTCTGGCTCAGTGGTTCTTCAGAAGAAGATTTTTAAAGATTTCTCCTATATATTTCAATGTAAAACTTGTATTTCCTATTGTGGCCCCGCCCTACCCCCGGAGGTCATGATTTTAACAAATTAGAATCTACACTACCCCAGGATGCTTCCACATAAGTTTCAGCTTTTCTGGCCCAGTGGTTCTTGAGAAGAAGATTTTTCAAGATTTTTCCTATATATTTCAATGTAAAACTTGGATTCCCTATTGTGGCCCCGCCCTACCCCCGGGGGTCATGATTTTAACAATTTAGAATCTACACTATCCCAGGATGCTTCCATATAAGTTTCAGCTTTTCTGGCCCAGTGGTTCTTGAGAAGAAGATTTTTCAAGATTTTTCCTATATATTTCAATGTAAAACTTGGATTCCCTATTGTAGCCCCGCCCTACCCCCGGGGGTCATGATTTTAACAATTTAGAATCTACACTATCCCAGGATGCTTCCATATAAGTTTCAGCTTTTCTGGCCCAGTGGTTCTTGAGAAGAAGATTTTTTTATGACCCCACCCTATTTTTGTCTTTTCTTGATTATCTCCCCTTCTAAGGGGACTTGGCCCTTTATTTTAACAATTTAAACTCCCCTTCCCCCAAGGATACTTTGTACCAAGTTTGGTTAAAATTGGCCCAGTGGTTCTTGAGAAGAAGTTGAAAATGTGAAAAGTTTACAGACGGACGGACGGACAGACGGACAGACGGACGGACGACGGACAACGGGTGATCAGAAAAGCTCACTTGAGCTTTCAGCTCAGGTGAGCTAAAAAGTACTCCTAAGCTAACAAGTGACCCTCTGCTCAGAGAGATAATGCTAGCTAAATGACAAGTGCCCCTAAGGCTTTCTGCTGCTCAGAGACATAACTCTTGAGCTTAAGGAGAAGCACTCTTCTACTAGGGAAGATAACTTTAGCTAAAGAAGAGGAATCTCCCTTGCAGAATTGTCGTTCGTTCCTCTCTCAGATACCTCTGCAATGAGCTCAAGTGAAGAATTTTGAAATAGTGTAAAAGAACATGATATTCCAAGGATTATTTCAAATTAATAGTTCTATAGCTACTTAATAAATATCTAACTTAAAAGACAAACATTAGTGCAGGCATTTAATATTATGATAATGAATTAAAACAAACACGCTATTTCTTGTGCTTATCACTGTGATAAACACGAGCCAACAAGAGGTGAATGTATGAACCAATGATAGAGAGTGAAGAAGAAGCACTTCTCCACAAAGAAAGATAACTCTAGCTTAAAAAGAAGTGCCCCTCCACTAAGGAAGGTAACTTTAGCTTAAAAAGAAGTGCCCCTCTGCTAAGAAGGATAACACTAGCTTAGGAAGAAGTGTCCCCCTGCTAAGAGAGATAACGCTAGCTTAAGGAGAAGTGCCCCTCTGGTAGGAGAGATAACTAGCTTAAGGACATACGCAACATAGTTTGAACTTTATAGTCTTTTTCCCTGGAGGTAAAAAGTTCCAATACTTAAAGGAACTGTGTGCTACATTTTTATGTCTATATATACTGTTGTACTCGTCTTCTAAAACAAGTTTGGATAAACAAAACATCTAGAATATATGTTTAGTAATTTTTGTGTATTTTTCTTTGATTTATATAAGAATTTTCATCAACTGATATCTTTTCAAAACCCCTGGTAATGCATGCTGATTTTTTGTCCACAAACATCTGATGGCACTATAATCTTAAATTAAGAATATCTTGAAAAATTATTAGTAGGTAAGGTACGTTGCTTATGTCCTTAAGGAGAAGTGCCCCTCTGGTAGGAGAGTTAACTCTAGCTTAAGGAGGAATGCCCCTCTGCAAGAAGAGATAACTCTAGCTTAAGGAGAAGAGACCCTCTGCTAAGAGAGATATTTCTAGCTTAAGGAGAAGAGAAAGACAACTCTAACTTCAGGAAAAAGGTCCCTCTGCTAAGAGAGATAACTCTACCTTTAGCAAAAAAGCCCCTTAGCTAAAAGAGATAAACTGATGAATCAGTGTGTTTCTTTTACAAAAGCTTTCATCTCAAACAATTATTTTCCCTCAAAGTAAACTAAATTTGCTTAAATTTCTTTTTTTGTCCATTCTAACTTTTGTTAGATAATTGTCATAATTTCAAAAATCTGGATTTTAATGAGCAGAGGGTCAATGTCCTAAAAGCCATGAAATGTGATGCAAACTACACATTCTCTTCCACTACTCAAGCAATGGTCAAAATATTGCCACATCTGACAAGTTTACTTAATATATTGCTATTTATTTAACTTTTTTTTACTGATCTCATTTTCAGTTTTATAAATCTGATCTTAAAACAAAGCAGCAGACCAAACCCAAATTAAAGAATATCAAAATGAAGCTTTAATATTGTAAATCAGCACTACCTGTTGGTATGGATTAAGAAACATCTTGCCAATAGAATGGAGGGACTGTCCCCCAAAGGTTCTCTGACCCTGAACAGAATTACTGGTAGTATAATCTATACCTGTCAAGTACACAAAGGTCACAAAATTTAGAATTACTGAAATGGTAGAGGTGACCCATTTGACAAGCAACCTTGCATGCATTTGAAATACATGTACAAGTATATTACACTGGGAAACAAATTCTTGAAATACTCCTAGACACTACTAGAGAGAATTTTTACTATCTCAGAGGGGGTGTGTTCTCTTCATTATACATGTACAACTATTTACATTTTAGTTTTAAGGATCTGCTAAAGTAGTACATACATCAGTACATGTATAGGTATAGATTGCAGATTTTCATAAAAATTACTTCAAGTCCCTGCCTTATGAAACCTTTTAGATGATCAGTACCCCATATTTTTATTTACATCTGACTACCATTTGACTGTTTGCATCACACTGACTATCAGAACCTAAGTTTTAATGCTATCTGGCTTGCCTACCCTCTGATAGGGGTTAGGTTCCCTGGGATCTAAGCAGTGAAGACTTTTCCCTCCAAATGTCTTAGTCCCCTGGTACATATTACTTGATGTAAAGTCCATTCCTACAAAAGGTTCTTATAACTTTTAACTTGGTCAATTACAATATCTTTAATCTGCACTTAACATTTTTGAACAATGCATATATAACACTGTACATGTATTTCAAATACAGCACAACAAAACAATAAATGGAAAAATATCTATGAAATGTTATACCAGATAAATTAGCTTAATGTAATATTATCATTATACACTACTGGATTTACTGTTTTTGATTATACAAACATAACAATTAAAATATTAATCTGTTAATTCCGAAGACTTACCAAATATCAGACCACAACTCTCTAGCCCAGCCTTTCTAACTGCTGCAGTGACATCCTCTAATGAGGTAAACCTGTCCACAAAACTAGAATAATTACTGCCTCCAAACATGCTGAACAGGCTGTTACTCTTCATCTTACTCAGATCGGGGTACAGTTTGTTCTCCGAGGAAGGGGACGAAGAGGAAGCAGATTTTGATGAAGATCCGCCACAACAATACCAGATGAAGAAACCAATCACAAAGAATATGATAATGCTGATGACCTCCATGTTTATAATCTCAAAATAAATCAAGCTGCAAAACAAACAATGAAACATGAATATCCCAACCAGATCATGGCAAACTACATAATTCATAAAATACAAACAAGCCAAGGTCTGAATAATCGTCATCAAACTTTTAATGTTCTGTTTTCATCTCTAGCCTTTTAAATACTAGTAAATAAATCTGGGGAAAAGATTGAAAGTTTCTTCCCTACTGATTATCTCAACAAATACTTGGATGTAACAAATAAATATCAGGTCCTGCAAAATCTCTCGATTTAGCTATATAGCTTGATATAGCTATATATAATATAGCTTGATATACCTATATAACTTTATTAAGCTATTCAAAATAGATTGATAAAGCTATTTATATGCAGTTTTTCACAGAAATGTTTCTTGTAAGAAATAGACAAAAAGTTGCAAGTTTTTTACTAATCATATATGTACTATGGGCTATAATAACACATTTAAGAAAAAAAGTTTCAAAAAATAGCTAAATCACGCTATGAGTGAATAACTTAATAAAGCTATATAGCTAAATCAAGCTATATAGTTAAATTAAGAGCTGATTATAGATCATTTGGTCTTCAAAAACCTGAAATAACCACAGGCACTTGTTTCGGTAATAAATTTTTAACCCATAGTATAATAATAACACAAGGTATCTAACTCCGAATTACACGGAGTACCCCCCTCTCCCAGAATCGCACTAATTTAAACTTTCAGAGGAAATACACTGACAAACTGTTTATACCTATGTTTTCTACGATAATTTATGTACACAACCATATATGACATGCTTGTCTTTATTTTCTTTAGTCTCCGTAAACAGCGTCAAAAATTTGCTCGTCGAGTGGAAAAGTCGAATTCAACCATGAAATGGTATGTGCTAATCCCGCACAGAGAACAAAATTAAAAAATGAGTTGGTTTACAAATTCAATTCCAGTGTTTAAATATTGCATGAGTAAATAAAACTTGTTTACGTCTGTTTTTCCCTGAAAACATTACCATGTTTATCCAATGTAATTTTAGAAACAGATTTTTAGCCAATCAAAATCTCTGTGCGGGATTAGCACATACCATTTCATGGTTGAATTCGACTTTTCCACTCGACGAGCAGAGTTTTGACGCTGTTTACGGAGACTAAAGAAAATAAAGACAAGCATGCCATATATGGTTGTGTACATAAATTATCGTAGAAAACATAGGTATAAACAGTTTGTCAGTGTATTTCCTCTGAAAGTGTAAATGAGTGCGATTCTGGGAGAGGGGGTACTCCGTGTAATTCGGAGTTAGATACCTTGTGTTATTATTATACTATGGGTTAAAAATTTATTACCGAAACAAGTGCCTGTGGAAATAACCCACTAACCATGCTAACAGATGAATATAAAATAGTGATTATGAAAGTGATGAAAGGAAATATATTAACCATCATAAAATCACGATTAAATAAAAAATAAAATTTAAAAAATTAGAAAATCACAAGAATACTGTGTTTGGATAGTGCTAGTAGTTTACCTACCTTCTGACCTTTGATCAATATTGATACCCGAAGTTCTACAACGAATGACAGTTATGTTAAATTAACCTACCGAGAATGTTGTGTTTTGTATATAAATAAGAAAAGTATTACATCATGAATTTAGCAATTATTGTAATGTACACGTCAGCTTTACTGACTAAATGCTTGCCTAGTGTTTTCGTTATAACATCATAATCATTTTAGCGCTTCAGAATGAAGTAGAGCAAATACGATATATTAAAACACCGAAACGACTTAGATGGTGTTTATTAACTTCCGGGAGAAACAACGCGTTTGATGATTGTTTTGCCCATAGTGCCAGTGGTAACACTTTGCAACCCAACGCAAAAATGATTGGTGCAATTGGAGGCGACTCTGAAGTCAAAAACAGAGAATTAATGTACAGACTGATGATCAGGTACCTCAGACATTCGTGCAAATTGTGACGACCAAAAATTAAGGGGGGAGGGGGGTGTTATTCAGTAAATTACAATGTTAGGAAAAGTTCGATGTGTTCTATTGAAAGAAGACAACCGAGGAATATCTGATTATAATATACAGTTATTCAATGTCTAATCAGGTAATAGATCCTAATGTATTTTCAAGGTGAGCATGGTGAGAAGAACAGCTCATTGTGATTTGTTGTTGGAAGCAACCATGCAAGCAGAATATTCATGTATTGTCTCATTAGGCATGTGATAACTGTATTATTACCTGATACTAGTTTTATAGACAAAAATGAGAAGAATAATAAATGTATATATTAAAAAGGGCTCATGTGTGGAGTAAGATGACACTGCGATGATATTAAACAGAAGTCCGTATGTGTCACATTTTGACAATGATACTCATTACTGAAATTAGGATGACATCATAATTCAATATATCACCAGTCAGAAAAAAGCCAAAATAAATGAAACAAACTATATATGGTACGCACTGTAATACTCTAAAATAAAACAGTCAAGAATCATCTAATAATAAAAATTATATGATGTGGCAGCTTCATATCATAACTTAATGTATTCTCCTTTTGGCAAAAAAATGTCTAGAATTAATATTGTTGTCTTGTCTTGGGGCCATAAAACTTAGACGAGCTCACTTTTGAGCTCAGTCTCACTTTCTCACTTCATGTATAAATTCCTTTGATAAAAGTGAGACTGAGATCAAAAGTTAGCTCGTCTGAGTTTTATGGCCCTCGAGTCTGGAGTAGGAATCATTTTCTTTTCTGCATTCTGTTTAAAAAGACCATAATGAGCAAATTGTATTCATCTTGGCTGAGATACAGTTGCCTTCACCTTCAATCCAAACATCAACCCGAGTCAAATCTCAGTTGAGGTTAAATGTGTCAGACAGTTTTCAGAGTCTTTTTTTTTTAAAACGTATGTTAATTCAGTTAAACATTGTCATGTTTTCTGATGAATATTTTGTTAAAACAGTCAGTTATTTTATGATGGACATCAGCAGTTAGCAGTTCAACTCTCCAACCTTGTCAAAGCACACCCTGCCTGTCCACCCTCAGACAGATTGTTCAAAGTTGTCAAATTAGGATTAGATTCTGAAGAAGGTAAGAGCAAAGATATTACCGGTAAATTAAAATGGTATCAGATATCAGAATAGAGGTATGATTAGGGTAGGAATTCATGTTTTTTTTGATAACTTAATGTGTCTAATAAGTTCTTTTTTTTTTGGGGGGGGGGGGGGGGGGTTTACACCATCCATACCTTATGTGCTTGTGCTTCAGGCTGTAACCTTAGAATCCTTATTAGAAGGAATTTAAACTGCACATAGCCCTCAGAGTTGTCAGTCACATGACTTAAAGTCATATCTCAACAGTCACTGAATAGTCGAAATGAAGCAATTCTTGCTTAGTTAATGATTAAGATTCATTTAACCCCAGATATGTTGTTAATCATTAAGGTTTACAACATATCACATGCTCAGTTTATTATGGAATAAAGTCATTATATTCAGCATTAAGATATATTTGCTGTATGTAATATTTTCTCTCCTTGTGTTTCAGAACTTTCTGGAAATAAGAGAATAGGAGAACAAAATATTGCTCCTGGTTCAGGAATTGACTTGGAGTATGAAACAGATGGTAATGTTTCAGCAATTGTAACAGATTTTGCATGTATATCAATAATTTTTCTATGACCCCCATTTGATGAAGGGAGGTATTTTTTTTTTCAGATATATTTTTTAAGTGCATGAGAACAACATTTATAGTTTGCATAAAATAAGTTCACAGTTTTAAAAATAGATTGGACTGCATGAAAGTAATACAAAATTACCTAAAATATATATTGTTGAAAAAAAACTAATTTCACTATTTTCTGATTTTTAGTGCAGTCCATCTCACCAGAGGGAGCTCTGTATGAGACCTGTTATGTCACAGCACACAAAGGACCTTGTCGAGCAGGGGCCTTCCACTCCTCAGGAAAACTCATAGCCACAGGGTCAGAAGATGCCTCCATCAAGGTTAGCTATCAATATAATAATCAATAATACTTCTTCCATTATTAACAAAAAATTATAAAATGTTCTTATATGATAAAAGGACTTCTGTTACCTTTAATATTCACAATTGGTGTCTTTTAAATCATGAATTAAAGCTGAAAATGATTTGTAAAAAGAAGAGAGTTATCTTGTCCGCCATATCAGTTTTCTCAAGGCTGTTGTTTTCCAACCTCTATATAAGCCTCAGCTTTGTTCATGGTTCAATGTATTTAGCTTCATGGATTCTACCTGTGCACACATCTCCATCATTGTCATTGTGATATACTTTGGCGCAACAAAAATGACTTTTGTATGCCTCTGCCATGTCAAGAAAAAGTTACCAAAAGATATTCCATATCAACTGCACAGGCCAATGCACTACAAAGTGAAATGAACACAAATGCATCTGTAACGAAATAAAACGTAAACAAAAATGACATTGTGAGATATACATGTACTAGATGTCACAGGGACCAGCTGAAAGCAATCAGGTGTAACGAATGCAAAGGGTTATATACCACAGTGCTGATATAGGTGATAGAAAAACTAATGTGGCATATGCCTATTTATGAGTCATATTCAGCTTTATCTATGTAAAAGAAATATATTACTATGTATTTTATAAAATTCAGATCTTAGATGTTGACAGAATGTTGGCCAAGAGTGCAACTCCAGCAGAAATAATTGCCATGGAAACACCACAACAAGCCATGGAGAACCACCCAGTCATCAGAACTCTTTATGACCATGTAGATGTAAGAAACAAATGTGTCTGACACAGAACAACCATCAGTCTCTCAGCTAAAATCAAAACTGTCATTTACTTATTTCTACAGAATTTGGAATTTTTAAAGAAAACCATGCTAGGTCTTTTTGTCCATCTCTTATTGTCTGTATATATTCAGAGAATTTTTTTGACAGTCTTTATTATCCTTTCAGGAAGTCACATGTTTAGATTTTCACCCCACACATTCAATTTTGGCCTCTGGCAGCACAGACTTCAGCGTTAGATTCTTTGAGTATTCCAAACCCTCCGTTAAGAAAGCTTACAAAAGTATACAGGAAGCAGCAGCCATTAGATCTCTGTCATTTCATCCGTCAGGGGACTACATCCTGGTGGGAGCAGACCATCCTACAGGTCAGTACTCAATGACAAGATTACCCAAAGGAGTAGTCCAGAGAAAGGTTACCCACAGATTAACCAGGTCAGTAGTCTAAATCAAGGTTACCCAGATATTAACCAGGTCAGTAGTCTAAATCAAGGTTACCCAGATATTAACCAGGTCAGTAGTCTAAATCAAGGTTACCCACAGATGAACCAAGTCAATAGTCCACAGCAAGGTTACCCAAAGATTAACCAGATATTACAGATATAATTTATTCATTTGGTTTAATACAGTGTTTTTTTTTTCTCAGTTTAGTTTTCGGTGGAAAAGATCATTAAACTCTGCAAATTCAAAAGGGTTTTTTAACAAAGTTTTGCAATTTTTTTTTTGCAGTTAGGTTGTATGATGTGAACACCTTCCAGTGCTTTGTTGGCAGAAACCCCAACACTCATCACACATTGCCTATCACCACAGTAAGTATAACATATATCACACAGTAAGTATAACATATATCACACATTGCCTTTCACCACAATAAGTATAACATATATCACACAGTAAGTATAACATATATCACACAGTAAGTATAACATATATCACACATTGCCTATCACTGCAGTAAGCATAAAAATGTTAAATTAAATAAACTGCCATGTACATGTGTTGCTCAATTAGATGTCTCCTTTTTAGCTCACCTGAGCCAAAGGCTCAAGTGAGCTTTTCTGATTAAAGAGTGTCTGGCGTCCGTCTGTAGTCTGTAAACTTTTCACATTTTCGACTTCTTCTCAAGAACCACTGGCCAATTTCAACCAAACTTGCCACGAAGCATCCTTGGGTGAAGGGGATTCATATTTGTTCACAGGAAGTGCCGCACCCTGTTTCAAGGGGAGATATTTAAGAATTCGTGAAAATTTGGTGGCATCTTTTAAAAAACCTTCTCAAGAACCACTGGGCAAGAAAAGATGAAACTTATTTGAAAGCTTCATTACATACTCTAGATTCCAATTTGTTCATATCATAACCCCCGGGGGTAGAGCGAGGCCACAAGAGGGGGTCAAAGTTTTACATAGGAATATATAAGAAATGTCTTTAAAAATCTTCTTCTCGAGAACAGCAAAGCCATGATTAGTCATATTATTACAGAAGTATCCTCAGGTAGTGTAGAATATAGTTTTACCAGTTATGACCCCTGGGGGTAGGGCAGGGCCACAACGGGGGGGGGGGGGGGGGGGGTCAAAGTTTACCATAGGAATATATAGGAAATATCTTTAAAAATCTTCTTCTCAAGAACAGCTTAGCCATCATTAGACATATTAATACAGAAGTATCTTCAGGTAGTGTAGATTCAAGTTTGTTCAAATCATGACCCCTGGGGGTAGGTGGGGCCACAACAGTGGGTCAAGGTTTACATATAGGTGTAATGGTTAAGGGGCATTTGAGTAAAATGCATTGAAGAACTCAAATAATGGAATGACCTAACAACCCTTGGAATGGACTAGCCAAATCAAAGGGTATATAAGGCAAAGCTTTGGGAATGTCAGGCATTCAGAAGGTAGCTGTAGAAGTTGGATGATGAATCAGCAATAAAGAAGTTAAGATATTCCATCCCAAATAGCAACAGATTCAATGAAATTGAATACATAACAGATGTGTAGGTGTTGAATACTCAGTATATTTAGACATAATTCCCATTTATTACCATTAGCATGTAAGTGTGGGATGTGTCCTAATTTATGACCTTGAATTTTGGTAACAGTTAATTCCCTCTGTTTTAATTAATTAAAAAAAAAATCAATTTTAAGAAACTTATCTGATTAAAAAAAAAATCGTTTTCAATTGTCATTCTATTTCTAATGTTTTAATGCATTTTTCCACTACAGTATTTATTGATATTCTTATTACTAGAATTTTTATTTTTTAAAAAAATGCTTGTCCCCATAGACTTCAATGCAATCTTTGTTAAGTACTTACTGCTAAGTTAATTACATTTTTGAAACTTTTTCTTGGTAAATCTTTTTCTACTGTAAAATGCTTTAAATTAATATTAAGAGTATTATGTATGTGACGGACATTTAAGGATAGAGGATGGAAAACATTAAGGGTAAGAGCAAAATAAAAGTATAAGATCTGTAAACACCAGTGGCAAGTATCCTAGGGAATTGATGTTAAGCTCTGGGTGTAGTAAATCTGAAGAAGATTGAGACAACTGGTTCTTATCTTTCAATGGGAACCTAGGGGAGAAACATGGTGCAAGTAGTACCTTACCCAGTCCTAATCTCTAGATGAGAAAATTTAAGTACTGTGTGATATACCCTCAGACAGAGCTGTCTTAATAATCATTCCAATCATTAACTCAGACAGAGTAAAAGGAAAACCTATATATCCCTTGTAAGGACCCCCATAATACCATTACATAGGAAATATCTTTGAAATCTTCTTCTCAAGAACAACTAAGCCATTATTAGTCATATTTATACAGAAGCAACCTTAGGTATTGTAGAATCAAGTTTGTTCAAATCTTTAAAATTCTTCTGTTTAAGAACAGCAAAGCCATGATTAGTAATATTGATATAGAAGCATCCTGAGGTAGTGTAAATTTAACTTTGCCCCCCCCCCCCCCCTTTTAAACTTTTCAATACTGAACTGATTTCTGCTTCTTCCTAGCCAGTGTTTAGGTGAGCGATGTGGCCCATCTTGTTCCAATGGAGATAGTTCATCTCCTGTTCATATATGTGTTTCATGATGGCAATATTCAGAAACATATGATCAACAAAAAAATAGCTTATGTACAGAAGGTCTGATATTCATAATGAATTTAAATTCCAAAATGCATCTCTGAGAAAAGATTGGACGTTATTTTAATTTCAGGTTAAATGGAGTCCCAATGCCAATTTGTATGCCACAGGTTCATTAGACGGAGACATAAAAGTTTGGGATGGAGTCAGTAATTTGGTGATCAGCACATTTAAAAAAGCTCATGATGGAGAAGAAGTGTGTTCCGTCACCTTCTCCAGGAACTCAAAGGTCAGCTGAGATCAAAAATAAGGACCGCAGAAAATTCATCTGAAAAGTATCAAGCACTAAATAAATCATACTCATTATGATAAATTGATAAAACATTAACTTTAGACTCCTATAGTTTACATTTTAGTTTAGGCTGGAACAAAGGAAAGGTCTTTTTAAAGTTTTTCATAGTTTAAAACCCAGTAACAATGTTAATTTGTTAAAAAAATTATTTTTTAACCATTGCTTATAGCATCATTTGATTTGTTTCAGTATATTTTGTCAGCTGGGAAGGACTCGCTGGTCAAACTATGGGAGTTGTCCACCAACAGGTGCTTGATTGTGTACACTGGGGCAGGGATGACAGGGAAGATGGAGCACGGGGCGCAGGCCGTGTTCAACCACACCGAGGACTACAGTTAGTACAGTCTGACAGGCAATACTGTCCATATATCATGTCATACTTACATAATGAAATTCTCAACAATGTTGTAACAGAAAATGCCACCATTTTATTAGCTCATGAAACAGAGGTGCTGTAGATATTGAGGCACAACACTTAGTAGATAGAACAACCTTACTAGTGGATTCTAAACTCAACAAGTGATACTGAATATCGTATTCTGTTCCTATTAATTACTTCACCTATTTTATTGCAGATATGAACTGAAACATGTTTTAAATAAGGCAGATTTTTAGGTCACCTGAGTCACTCAGGTGACCTACTGCTATCTGTTTTTGTCTGTTGTTGTCCATTGTGCATTAACATTTGAACATTTTCAGCTTATTCTATGGAAATGATAAACCAATTTCAATTTTGGCATATAGCATCAATGAGTGAAGGGGAACAAAAATTTAAAATTTCATGGTCCCCGAGGGGTGGTGCTAAAAACCATCAAAATGAGTGCAATATTTACAAATCTTCTTCTTTACTCCTGAGCACCAAGCAGCCAAACTCTTGGCATGATTGTAACAAGCATTGATCCCTCTACCAAAATTATGAAATCCATGGCCCCAGAGTGAGAGTCTGGAGTTAAGGTGAAAATGTATAAATTTTTCAAAAATCGTTTTTCCCCCCATATACTCAGCAGAGAAACCAAGCACATAGATATGATGAGCAAGGGTGCATCTTCCAAAATTGTGAAATTCATTGGCCCATGGTCAGGGATTCTGGTGTCAGAGAGGGGATCTATTGATCATATATTCTTAATTCTTTGAAAATCTTCTCTGCTCCTGAGCATAAAACATATAAATTTAGTGCATGGTTATGATGAGCAAGGGTGCCTTTTCCAAAATTATGTAATCCATACCCCTGGGTCAGGGTTCTGGAGTTAGGATGGTGCTTCATTTATCATATAGTGAAAAAGCAGTAATTCTTTAAAAATTTCTGCTCCTGGGTATTAGACAAGACAAACTAAATGCATTGATATAATGAGCAAGGGTATGTTTTCCAAAATTGTGAAATTCATTGCCCATGGGTCAGGGGTTCTGGAGTTAGGGTGGGGCTCTATTATGATCATACAGTGAAAATGCAACAATTTGTTAAAAATCTTCTTCTCTGCTCCTGTATTTAGCAAGCAAACTAAATATGTGGATATGATGAGCAGGGTGCCACTTCCAAAATTTCTTTGAAAATTCTTTGAAAATCTTCTCTGCTCCTGGGTATTTAGCAGATAATCTAAGTGAGTGATGAAATGTAGATTGCACTAGCATACACGAGCACATTTCTGAGTCTTTGCTTATTACTAGACTAACTATTTTGGTGACCTCCGATGACCCTATTTCTCTTGTTTTTGAGTTTCAGTTTATTTCACATTATTATTTTCCATTCCATAAATCGTTTACAGGGTTGTATTATACTCTTGTTTTTCTTTGTAATTATTACAATTTGTAAATTTGTTTCTAATGCAGTTTTCTTCCCTGACGAGAATACTACTTCTTTGTGTTGTTGGGACTCGAGAAATGCAGAACGACAGAGACTTCTAGCCTTAGGTTAGCACAAGCTTTAATTATTGAAAGTTTAAATTTAATAATAATGAGTTCATTGATTAACACTGAGTTCAGACAGTGATATAGTTAAGTAAATATTAAAGGTTTGCTAATGAAAATAAGGTATTTTGATAATATTGACAAAGTCATTGTTCACCATAGGTCATAATGGAGCTGTGAGGTACATTGGACACTCCCCCACTGGTCCTGCCTTCATCACTTGTAGTGAGGATTTCCGAGCCAGGTTCTGGTACAGGAAGGCCGACACTGATTGACAGTCATTCATTCTCTTGTTTTCATTTTTTACATTGTTCATTAAATCTCCAACTTGTACCAGTGCTCTGGTTTTTAAAAATTATGGTCCTAACAGTGAAATGTGGCAAGCCTCCTATATAACACAATCTACTTTTGTCAAACCTCCAATATTGGTCAATCCACCTGACCAAACTAATGCGTAATGTTTCCTCTTCCTCTGCTTTGGCATTAAGAACGTTACGGATTGACTACAGCTGTATATATAGTCTCTGTGGGTCACATGGGTCACATAATCAGCAACAATTTCTAGATCACGAATTCCTAGCTGCTCCATAATTTAATTTCTAGATCACCATTGCTGTAGACCTTTTGCATCATTAAAATATGTGAAATCGTTTCATTAGAACACTTATATGATCTACTCCTCCTGAGACCCCAGCTGACATTCCTCCTTTCTGTACAGCAGTATCCATGTAATTGTTATATGACAAATAGGTCGTCATACTCTTAGCCAAAATAGCTAGAAAAATTTTCTTTTCAATGTTCAACAGTGAGATGGCACGAAACTGCTTGAGTGTCTTTGGATTTCCTCTTTCATAATGAAGCCTCTCTCCGTTTGGTGCTAACTATTAGCTGCCCCCTTCTCCACACGACAGTATTTGCTGACAAGGTCATTGTATCGACTATTAAACTTGCGATATGCTGTCTTAAAATGAGACTGTTGATATCCTTGTTTCATCAACTTTTTTTAAATAGCTTACTTAGTTTTAATAATTGTTCGTAAGTAGAGCATGCTCTTGCGTATCGAATCAACTGGAAGACATAAACCTCATATGCAGGTGATCAGGATATATTAATATAGATAAGGGAAGTTGACAATAGAAAAGTTGAAGTCATCACGTTTATCATAAAGTTTTGTTGTTAGGTTACCATTAACGTTTATTGCAAATCATAGGCTTTTTAAATCGCCACGTTTTACGGAAGAAAATACTGCTCAAATTACTGCAAATACTGCTCCTTAAACTTCAATATGCCAACAAAGGAATTGACACAGTCAATATAAGCAATATCCTTAATCACAAAAGGGTCCAGTCTTGTATTCCACCATATTTCAAGTTGAAGTTCACACCTTGTATTTCCTACAAATATAAATCGACTATTACTTCCAAACTTTTTAATTAGAAAAAATCTACAGTTCCTAGATATCGAACATCTGAAACATAATCCTCCAATGCGTTCATGTTCTTCTTCACCCTACAACAATAGTCCTGCTGGACACGTCATTACTAGTGACTTAATTATAGTTTTTTTTATAACAATAAGGACCTTAAATCACTTATTTTAAAAGGACTAAAATTTAGGGAACCCTGATCTTTCAATTGGCGTCATAATTTCATAAATATGAATTCTGTGGAAGATTACGCCAGGCAATTGGCCAGATATGAAAAAGAAGACCTTCTCACTTTGTCAGAATGGATTAAAAGTATCAGATGGATAGGCTTGGATTTAATTCTGCAAGTGGTGATCCAACTTTTACCCATAGAGAATTTTTCACTCATATGGAGAAGCCACCACTTGCCGGTAGAGGGCTACAAATTTTGACCTATACTCGGCACTCAGGGCCATTGAGCAGTGAGGGATCTTTTTCGTGCCAGCACCTACTCCTATCTCGGTTTATCTCTGTTTATACGGTCTCATCCTAAGGACCGGTCTCCACGTCCCGCAGTGGGATTCGAACCCGCGACGTAAGGATCTACTCCTTACACCGCGACTCTAGAGCAGACGCTCTGACCACTGCATGCGCCACGCGGGCGACAAATTGAATTTGAATTACCATGCTTATACTGGATTCCTTCACTTCGTAAAATCCTCACAAAGATACGGGTTCCAGTAAATGTTCTACCAAGCCTCTTTCTTTATATTTACAGCAGTGAAGGAGAAACTTCAGGAGTACTGTACAATAATATACTGGTATTCGAGAAGTGGTGTGAATAAATACTCAAAAACTCCAAGGAACTTTTAGAAAATTTGAAATCACAAAATTTTACCAAAATCAATAGCATCAAAACGTACGACTTTTCTACGACAGCTGCTTTTTCAATAAAAAAGGAACTCGTAAATTTACTTACCTTGTTATTGATCATTTGCAAAATTATTTCATTAAAGCATTCTGATTGTACACACAAGTACTCTGAAGTTGATATTAAAAAGATTGAGTTTCTGATTAACAATATCTGTGTACATAGTTTTGGGAGGTCATGTCTTCCAACAATCTGTCGGAATGCCAAGTGCGCCCCGTTATTAGCAGACTTATTTTTGTTCGAGGGTTGTCTATAAAGTTCGTGGACAATGACATTTTTGTCAACATGAATGGTCCTAGATATACTTATTGCATACCAAAATATTTGTTATGAAAATCCAAGTCAGAATAGCTTGGTTTTGATTGATTTGACTTTTTCTTGATTTTGTAAAAAAAATCGCACGGCCCAAGGTTAAAATGCCACAAACTTTGAAATAAAGTTTTCTGATTTAAATGATTATTTTCCTTTAAAAAAAGTCAGTGCTTAATAAAAATTAAATGTAACACAAATAAAACGGCTATCGTCATTTTCTGATATCTTAAGAATCGCTTACTAAACAGATAGTGAAAATATTAAGAAAATACTGCAAAGAAATATGTTTCAAAAATTAACCGAAAAAGCGACGTCGACCATTCGAACGGAACAGCTTCCAAACATAAAATTATGTTTTAATGTGGTCGAAACAACGTCAGAGACAATTTTTTCCCCCAACAACTTGAAATTATTGGATTATATTTAGTTCATTTTTGATTTGAAATTAGCATATACAATTTTTCAACGGTGTGTTCAATTTTGGAGACACTACAAGAAGTGGAAATCACTGTTTTTCGTGGAAATAGAATATCCCTATTCATGACGTCGTTATAAATCTAGCGCAACGTTGGATTGGGCTGCGCAGCCTGTGTTTACGAAGTGTTTTTCCTGGTGACACTCGTAAATTATCGTGTACTGATTTGAATTTTTAAAATTGTATCAATTATGTTCCATATGTAAATGTAGCCTGTGTTGATGAACATGTAATAAAAATTCAAAATCCATTGACGTTATCATGAACTTAGCTTTACCTCAGACTGGCCCGAGGGGCTTGTTTATACAAAGTATTTACACCTTTAACGTTCGTAAAATAGTGTGTATTGTGTTAATTTTTACTAAATCATGGTCTCTAATAAATATTATTGTACACGTTTGCCAATACGGTCACTATAAAGAAAATTATAGCATTTGTCCACGAACTTTATGGACAACTCTCGTATTCATATGAAGCAGAATTAATCAAAAACTTATAAGTGAGAAGAAGAAAACACTTGCTATGGCCTTCAACTCGACATTTCGAGATACCGACAACGCATTATCAATTAACAATAGTTACTTCAATTCATATGTCGACTCGATATATCCCAGTGGACTTGAAATACAATGTAAAAGATATCGCAAAATCTGACACATCTGTTTTATATTTGGATATTTTACTAGAAAAAGATGGGTAACTTAACAACTAAACCTTTATACATGTATATGATAAACGTGATGACCTTTAACTTTTCAATCGTAAACTTCCCTTACAAGTTGATGAAACAAGAATATCAACAGTCTTGTTTAAAGTAATCATTTCGCAAGCTCTATGGTCGATACAATGACCTTGTCAGCAAATACAATCATCATGAAGAAGCACATGGCGGATGTGACCGGTCGACAGGGGATGCTTACTCCTCTATGGCACCTGATCCATCTCTGATGTTTTCAGAGGCCCGTGTTTGCTCTGCTCCCAATTTGTAAAGTTTTAATGGACTTTTGAGCTTGATTACTGTTCGTTATCTCCATATATCATAGTAAAATATCCAAATATGAAACAGATATGTCAGACTCTGTGTTGCCTTTTGTTTCAAGTTCACTTGGATATATCAAGTCGATACATAGATGGAAGTAACTATTGTTAATTGATGATACGTCGTCGATATATCTAAATGTCGAGTTCAAGGCCACAACAAGTGTTTTCTTCTTCTCATGTATAAGTTTTTCAATCAATTCTGCTTCATATGACATTACATTGTTTTCTGTGCTTGTAAAATAAAAAGCACCCATCTACATAAGTTATCGTTATATTCAAAATATTTTTTAAGTAAAAAAAAAATATTTATTAATTGATTATAAAAATTCTGCTTCTGAAATTTCTTTAACAATTAAAAGAATTTTATGTTAAGAGATAGAAATATCTCAATTTTACTGACAATTTAAAGGAATTGAGTATGAATGTTTTAGGTAAACTATTATAAGTAATTAATAAAAATATTGAAAATAGAAATCTATTTGTAACATACTCTAGATTTGAATGAGTTGACTATATAATCAGATAATGATCCTCATTACTAGTATTAAATTCTGGTAATACAATTCATTGAATTCCTTGGATTAATTTCCTTGGAAAGTTATCTCTCTTGTCAGAGGGATATTACACCTTAACAGTGTTCATCTTAATTTTTTTTTCTCTCTGTGAACCAATTGCAAATGGACATAGACAAATGGATATTTATAATAAGTTTTCGATTGTGTGAATATCGGCGTTTCTAAGAACAATTGTATCCGTGACAGACATGATTACAACTCATGAAGAATTAACCAAAGAATATTGTTGGCAGCGAAAAACACAATCAGACGTATTTAAATGATTCAGAAATTTGCAATTCAAACTTGTTTCTTTAAAAAAAATGTTTAACACACTTTATTACCTGCAACAGAAAATAAACATATTGGCTTTTTTAAACACGAAGTGTTTCAGCAAGATACACATTAGCATGTTATTATACATAGGACATTTTGAATATATATATATATATATATATATATATATATATATATATATATATATATATATATATATATATATATATATATATATATATGAAAAATATTCAAACAAATAAAACACAGAGAACGAGTAAAACATAAACGCTTTCAGGAATCAAAAAGTTCGTGGACTAGCGCCATAAAATTAAAACC